TTAGGTATATACTGTTAATATTGAAGGACAGTTTTAAAGACACTATACATCATAAGAAAGATTAACTATTTGGTTTACAGAAAAGACACAGCAATTTCTAACAGAATCTCTTTCATTTATTTCTATATAGTTCACATTTTGTAATTACACTCCTAATCATTTTAAATTTATGAGATGTTATATTTGTTTCTACACTTGAAATTCATCTTATTAGCATGAATCAATGATATTTGTTGTTGTCAATAACTATGTTTTCTCTTTGTTGAATATAAAACAATAGAGCAACCTTTAAATCAAATAAATTAGGTTAATATTACTACCAGTTAAGTTCAAAATAGTAAACAGTTTCAAATAAATAAAGGGGAGTAACTCATGTTATCCTAACTACTAAACTTACAGTTTTCTACTTAGTCTACGTAAAGTTTTAATGTTTTGTTCCCTGATTAAAGCAGGGTTTTTGGTTTTTCTTTGTTTATGTAGAAGTGGCATGTAGTCTCTAATGTCATGTGTTATTTTATCTATTGGCCATTCCTTCTTCACTTTCTTCTTGTCACTCTCCATTGTTTTACCTACAAAATCACAAAATATTCGCAACAGTAATATAAAAGTAAATCTTTCAAAGTCATTAAAGTGACTAATCTTCTTGTGATGTAAGCATAATTTAATTTATTGTCAACATTAATAACAAGTAGTGATCATCTTTGTCTTGAAACCAATATATATAGATAAACAAATAGTTTATATTAAGGTTACTAAAAATCAAGAAAGCGAGGGTTCAACATTTAACCCAACCACATCATTTGACACTTTTCCAAATAAAATTACTGATAGTCTATTTGATGAGACTTTAATTACAGTGGAACTTCACTAAAGGATCAGTGGTTATATACTTCTAGTATTGACAATATATCAACATGATGCACAAACTGCCCGCATGGCTCATTAGGGAGAGCATCTAATCCAGGTGTCACTGGTATGATTCTTGGGCAGGGCAAAATTTCTCTGTGGCAATAAGTAAAAATATTTTATACTTATAATTTTAGTTTGATATTTTGCAATTTATAAGCTTACTGAAACACTCTTGAATCCGTTACTGGAACCAACCAGTATTCAGCAACGAGTAAAAAGTTTCTTGCTCAAGGAAACAACAGCTTGACCTGACAGAGTTTGAACCCATGTTGCCAGCAATCCTTAGATTACTAGTCTGAAGTGTTAACCACTCGACCACTGCAAAGTGCCAGTTGATCTTTGACACTGAGTCTCAGATGGTCATTTGTCTCTTACTGCTGATTCCATCATGTTTGATTAGCAGACGGTCACTTGATGAGACATAAGTTACAATACTGGACCTGAACTAATACAGATATACACTTAACAATGGAATATGATGTTGTGATCTTTGTATTGCAAAACAAAAACATCTAGGGAGGTATTCATCGTTACCACATGGCAAAATAGTTACCTGTTGCATTATGGGTTATGCTGAGCATAGAAGATTTTAGCTGCTCCCTGAAAAACAAACAAGAGCTGTCCGTAAGACAGCGCGCTCGACTTTTTTATTGCTTGCCAATAAAAAAAGTTTTTGCAGTAAAAGGCAATACAAGAATCTCTGTATTTTTAAAGTGAACAATGGCCATGAGCATTAAGATATTTAGTGAAGAATTATTTTACTGAATTGTGTGATACCCTTGAACACTGCAGGTTCAGTGGATAGGAATGAATTTTTTTAGATTTTTTAAGTTTTTTAGTGCTTGCCTATAATACAAAACATTGACAGTTAAGGGCCATAATTCAAATAAAATCTTTGACAGAATTACCTTCTCCTGGACATGTTTGGGAATCATGATTGTAAACAAGTATTCCAACTTTCAAATTAATATCTCAAACAGTTCAGTCAAAAAGTGGACTGGTACTAAAAACTTAACCAAGATTCTAAGTCGATAAAAGGCCTTAATTTTTAAAACAAATCCTTGACAGAGTTACCTTCTCTTGCGTACAGATGGGGGTAATGATGTGAAATAGCATTAAAAGTTTCAAAGCAATATCTCAAAGGGTTAAGGCAATAAGTGGATTTTACCCATATTCAATGTATTTTCTAAGTCAAAAAGGGGCATAATTCTGTCAAAAACCTTGACAGAGTTATGTCCTCTTGTCTGTTGATGAAGGTCGTGATGGTAAACAAGTATGGTCAGTTTCAAAGCAATACCTCCAATGGTTTTGAAATAAAGTGAGGTGGTACAAAAAACTTAACCAAGCTCAATACACTTTCTAAGTCAAAAAAGGGCCATAATTCTGTCAAAAACCTTGACAGAGTTATGTACTCTTGTCTGTAGATGGAGGTTATGATGGTGAACAAGTATGGTAAGTTTCAAAGCCATACTTGTAATACTTCTGAAATAAAGTGGGGTGGTACGAAAAACTTAACCAAGGTGTGACGCCAACGTCGACGCCGACGCCGGGGCGAGTAGGATAGCTCCCCTTTTCATAGAAAAGTCGAGCTAATAAAAATTAATGCAGAAATGATAAGAGTAAAAAGGGAGATAATAAACAGTGTTGTATAAAACAAACATGCTAGATACATTTAACAGGGGAGTTAATTATCATATTTAAAAATACTAAATTGTTGAGATATTATAAACACCAAGGTCTTAAAAAAATACTAAACAGTAGGGGTACATATTATAATCATTAAATAATATAACTGCATCAACAATTGGTGAAAATGAAAATACATGTATTAGCATAATTTATTATTTATTAAAATATTTATGATGAACCATGCATTTTTTCCTCTTATTACTTAATATACATTGTCTTTAAACATATATAGAAATAAATACAAACATTATAATTTATAAAAAGAAGGTAAATTTAAAAAGAAAAATACTTGTTACATTTTTGTGAAAAATGTAAATAAAATGTATGTATACGGTCATACCGTTGTTCAGAGTGAATAGGAAATCCTAATTTCTTTGGTTTCTGCACAAAAACTGATTTGTAACTCTGCATAAATGTTTCATGTGCCTCATCAGATGTCTGTGAGACGCCATTCCTAAATAGTACATAAATATTATGTTAAATATCAATTTTATACTGAAACCAGGCCCCATGTTCACAAAGAATCTGAAGATCAGGATCAGGATCAAATGATCCTAATGTTATATACACTACTTATGAAACCAAACTTGATCATATTATGCTAAAATTAAATTGTGCATACAATACATATATGAGACAAACTGAATCAAAGTACCCAGTAAGGTCAAGAATAATTCAAGATCAATATTTGGATCAACTGTTTAACATGTCTTGTATATCATGTAAAGTAATAATAAAGATGTTCTAAAATTTCTATACACAAGTCATGCTATTTCAATATCTGGAAAATGCCTTGATTCCTTCGGAAGCAATGAAAATAGCACTACATGCAAATTGCAGGCTTGACATAAATGAGCCTGTTCATGACAGATAATGTACAAGTGCAAAAAGTAAAAATCTTAACCAAAGTGTTTCGACACTGATGCAAAGAAAACTAATATAGCCTCCCAATTCTGCGAAAAGTCAAGCTAGGAGTGCAAGAATGTTTCTTACTGAACATCTTTGAGTCCATCTATACTACAGAGTTCTCTCAGCTTGTCATAATCAATTGCTGGTGGTTTCTCTAACTTTGGTACTGAAAAAAAATGAAAACAAAGATTATCATAAAATATATAAATTACACAGTTATGGAGGAATATCAGTCACTTTGGTGTTAATTTCTTTTTTTAATTATTACGCGGAAAGTCCGAGCGGGGCCAAAGGCCCCGCGAGGGCTATAGGGCTCTTAGATAACATGTATGACGCGTATCAATTCAAATGAAATTAAATTAAAAGTAAATGAAAATTTCAAAAATATATAGATCCTATACCTAATGAGCTGTGAAAAAATCCTTAGTTAACTGGGCGCTGCCATTTTGAAATCCTTTCGAGCTAAATATAGATATCAGAGCGCTTTTAATGAGCGTCTACTTAATTCAGACTATTGCTAGCAGACGCATGCTAAATAACAGTTCCGGTGAAAGAATGATGTACAAAATCAGAAAATAAACATTTATTTCATTCATAAGAACTATAGTAATGATGATAAATGTAAAAAGTTACTTTTAAATCCTTTTTGATAAATAAGCACATTAAAAATAATGCAAAAACAACAAATGTGAATTAGAGATTAACAGAAAATGGCGGACCCAAACGCCGGCGCATGCGCAGTGGTCCCTCTTGCGATGATAGGTTGAACACCACCAATTTATTCGTTTCTGTTTACAAAATACCTGCATTTACTTGTTAACGAATTGCATGATAGATCTGGTTAACATGTACACTAAAGATGTTATGCTTAATTAAATCATAAGAGCTTTCGGCGCCATAGGTAGCACCTAATTTCATATTAGATACAGCTTTGGTATCTTCACTGTTTTTCCATTAAGCACAGAAATATTAGGAACAGTTCAATATATATAATACTGCAATAATGTATTGTTTTAAGCAATCACATTTGAAATGTATTTCTACTCATATTACCAAAGTCAAAAGTTAATGTTCACCATTTACAGTGTAGAGATCTATTTAACAGTTTAAGCTAGACTAATAATTTTTGATACTGTATATACTGTGTAAGGTATCGATAGTCGAGGATAATTTACGTGGCTTTCCGCGCCATTAAAAATTACATTTAAATGATGTATTTCTAGCATCTGCACTATGAAATGGCCGGATAGCCATATCTCTTCTTTTCATAAGGGCCATTTTCTCCTTATTTTGCCAATCAGCAGAGCACTTGTTCATCCGCCATATTGTTTACAGTAGTAACGAAAATATTGCACATATTAGTTTCGAATTTTCACTAATCGAGTATCTAAAGGTATCCTATATTAGCTATACGTTTTGTTTACTTTGTTATTAAAAAAATAACATTACATAAATATTTCTGTTATTCTGACCATTTTTTTGTAGTTTCCTTAAATTCGATACTAAGGTTAAGCTATGTACAACAACAACAACAACACTCAACAACAACAACAATGGCAGAATTGCCGGATCTTGGAAAACATTGTAATTTTGAACATTGCAAGCAATTAGGTAATTATTCCCTAGAAGGCTATTGCTGGGTTTTACATCATGTCAATTGAAATATGTTCTTGAGATGATAATGATGAAATAAAACGTAATTTTTTGCTTAACTGTATGCATATTTGGATAATTATTTTCGGATATAATTTTCTATTTCTACATCATACTGCTTTAAAATCGTTTACGATCACTCTAAGCAGGCAAACATTGTATACATTAAAGAGAAAGAGACAGCCATAAGATACAAGGGAAGCTCCCGAATCCGGGAACCAGTCGAATGACAGACTATTCTCTCCCTTACCAGTTCCTCTCCCTGACGGTTCTCTCCCTAACCGTTTCCTCCCCTGACGGTTCTCTCCCAAATTTGAAATATGCAGACAGTTCTCCCCCAATTTTATTTTTATAAGTTATCATTTTAGTTTTGACTTAATCTAATAATATTTCTTAATGAAGATTATTAAAAGAATGTGTTTGATAGTAAATGCATTTTATGTTTTATGTTTATCAGCTGAAAAGTGTTTGTAAATTTAACACCTTTTTTCAGTATTTTAATCCTATCAACACCTTTATTGTGGAAATATAGATCAATGGACAGTGATTGATATACACCTGTAATTATGTTACGGTCTAGCTTGTGATGTTCATTTATTTGTTAAATAGTTCTAGAAAATAAATATAAACAACTGTATGCAAACACATTCCACATTTACTTTTTTACGAAATTGATTTAAAAACATGTAGTCATTAACTTGAAACAATATATAATACAAAATAACTAATATAATACTTATTCATCAACACCTTTTCACAGCTATTTTAATCTAATCAACACCAAGGAATTACTAAACACTTCAATTATCACTGGCAGCAAACTTAATGCATACATGTGTGTATTGAACTTTTTTCATTATACAAAAGTTTAGCAATTAGAATTTATTAATCATTTTTTGCCTATAAATTTCATTTTTAGCTCGACTATTCGAAGAATATGAGAGTATTGTAGTCGCCCCGGCGTCGGCGTCAGCGTCCGTGTCGGCGTCTGCGTTGGTTAAAGTTTTTTGTAAAGTCAAATATCTCAATTATTACTTGAGATATTCAATTGAAACTTACAATACTTATTTATAGTAACAAGGTACATCAGATTGACAAGTTGGATAACTCTGCCTACAATATTGACAGAATTATGCCCCTTTTTAACTTAGAAATTTTGGTTAAAGTTTTTTGTAAAGTCAAATATCTCAATTATTGCTTGAGATATTCAATTGAAACTTACAATACTTATTTATAGTAACAAGGTACATCAGATTGACAAGTTGGATAACTCTGCCTACAATATTGACAGAATTATGCCCCTTTTTAACTTAGAAATTTTGGTTAAAGTTTTTTTATAAAGTCAAATATCTCAATTATTGCTTGAGATATTCAATTGAAACTTACAATACTTTATTTATAGTAACAAGGTACATCAGATTTACAAGTTGGATAACTCTGCCTACAATATTGACAGAATTATGCCCCTTTTTAACTTAATCAGACAAGCCACACAAACACGAACATTTAGTAATTTAATTTAATTGCAAACGTTTCGGCTATATGCCTTCATCAGTGCAAAACATAATAAAATTACCGGAAGCGACGTCATAACGGAACACGCGTTAAACGCGCGAAAAACGTTATGGCGTTTAGCGGCAAAACTATGATAACATGTAGAAACAAATATTTATGCTATAAATAAAGCTGGTACATGAATTAAAATGGATCAACAGTGATACAGATGTCTATTAGACAGTGTTAATAAAAATAAGATAATAGACAAACATATTAATATTCATGTAACATATTATAAATCAAACAATACTTTATTATTTAGTCCATTTGGAATCATAGTATTTAATTTATGAATCCAAAAAGATTCTTTACATAACCGGTCCATGTTGTTGTCTATAATTTCTATAGGTAAAAATGAAAAATCTGACAATGAACACTTATTATCGTTTGATCCGAAATGGATCGCAACATGTGAAACTGGATTAACGTCACAATTTCTTATATCAAATCTATGTTTATTCATTCTGCATGATACATTTTGATTAGTCTGACCTACGTATTGCTTTTTACAGCCTTTACATGTAATGAGGTAAATTACATTACGCGTAGTACAATTAACATCATTGTGTAAATCAAAAGAACTACCTGTTATGCTGCTATTAAATTGGGAACCAACAATTATATTGTTACAATGTGAACATCTACTTCGTAAACATTGGCTAGATAAAAATGTGCGATCAAGTAAAGCACTTCTAATAAGATAATCTCGAATGTTTTTAGGACGTCTATATGCTAAAATAGGTTTGAACTTGTTATGTATATTTTTAACGCTTACCTTATCAGACAAAAGTAATAGATCCCAATATTTATTTAAGATTTCACCAATATTAGGCAGAGATGTATTAAAACATACAGTAAAAGGTATTATTGAACTAGTATTTTTAACGACAGGACTTAGAGCATCATTTTGGGACATGCCTTCAATTTTAGAAAACGCTTTCTCAATAATAGATTTAGGATAATTTCTATCAGAAAAATATCTATTTAACGTATCTAAAGACTGCTTAAAAGTACCGTCATCGGAAATGACACGTCTATAACGTTTAGCTTGACTAAACGGGATACCACGCTTACATGATAAAGGATGAGAGGATGTAAAATCTAAATACAAATGCATATTTGTAGGTTTGCAAAATATATTGGTAACAATTTTTCCTGTTACGTCTTTAGATACAGAAACATAAAGAAAAGGTACCGAACTTTTAGAAATATTGTAAGTGAATTTAATATTCGGGTGGAAACTATTTAAGGAATCTATAAAAAAGTTAAGCGTTTCCAAAGAATCATTCCAAATCATAAAAATATCATCTAGGAAACGTAACCAGACATCAGGTTTTACATAAGTAGAGTTAAGAAATTGCTCTTCTAGTCTACCCATGAATAATGAAGCATAAGAAGGTGCCATAGGGCTTCCCATTGCTGTGCCCATGGTTTGTAAATAACTCTGATCGTTAAACTCAAAGCAATTATTATGTAAAACAATATTTAACAATTTCCTTATATCATTAGCTTTGATGTTATTGTTTCCTTTATCTTTCTGTAAAAAATATATACAAGATTCAATACCTTCATTATGAGGGATATTTGTGTATAATGATGAAACATCAAGGGTAACTAGATAGGTGTCTTTGTTTAATTTAAGATTACGAACCTTATTTATGAAGTCGGTGGTATCCTTGATATAGGAAGGCAAACTTTGCATATAAGGATTTAAAATAAAGTCTAGGTATTTCGCTATGTTCTCAGTACTGGAGCTACATGCTGAAACAATGGGACGACCAGGGTATCCAAGAGGAAGTTTCTCATCATATGATTTATGCGTTTTCGGTAAAATGTAAAATTGAGGTGTACGAATAGTAGACGGGAACATGTCAAATTGTTTAGTAATGCTTACATTGTTTTCCTGTATTTCATTTACACATTCTTCTATTTTTAACTTAGTCAAATTATGTTGTTCCTTTTCTACTTTTTTGTAATATCGCTCATCGTTCAGTTGTCGATTCACTTCGTCGATGTACTTCTGTTTGTCCATTATAACGATGGTATTGGATTTGTCTGCCTTTTTGATAATAATATTTGTATCACGAGATAGGTCGAATATTAAATTCACTTACAATATTTCTAAAAGTTCGGTACCTTTTCTTGATGTTTCTGTATCTAAAGACGTAACAGGAAAAATTGTTACCGATATATTTTGCAAACCTACAAATATGCATTTTTATTATATACTTACAAATGAAATATTGAGAAATATTGATGAAATAAAATGCGTATTTTCATTTTCCGTATTTTCACTGTAAAAATTTATTTTTCACTGCAGTGAAACATATTTTCCGTATTTTCACTGGTGTCTTGCCGGACTACTTTCTTTTAAATTCTGCTAGTACACAAAATTTAAGGGAAAGTCTTTAAAATTTTACTGTCAAAAAAGAGAAAAATGTATATAATAAACAGAAAATTCAAGTTTTTTCTATAAATACATGATTTATTTTCATCTTGTGGCATGAAAATTACCATATTTCACTCGTGGCTACCGCCACTCATGAAATATTTATTTTCATACCACTCGATGAAAATAAATCATGTATTTATAGACAAAACTTGAATATCCTCTATGTATTTAGATTTTACATCCTCTCATCCTTTATCATGTAAGCGTGGTATCCCGTTTAGTCAAGCTAAACGTTATAGACGTGTCATTTCCGATGACGGTACTTTTAAGCAGTCTTTAGATACGTTAAATAGATATTTTTCTGATAGAAATTATCCTAAATCTATTATTGAGAAAGCGTTTTCTAAAATTGAAGGCATGTCCCAAAATGATGCTCTAAGTCCTGTCGTTAAAAATACTAGTTCAATAATACCTTTTACTGTATGTTTTAATACATCTCTGCCTAATATTGGTGAAATCTTAAATAAATATTGGGATCTATTACTTTTGTCTGATAAGGTAAGCGTTAAAAATATACATAACAAGTTCAAACCTATTTTAGCATATAGACGTCCTAAAAACATTCGAGATTATCTTGTTAGAAGTGCTTTACTTGATCGCACATTTTTATCTAGCCAATGTTTACGAAGTAGATGTTCACATTGTAACAATATAATTGTTGGTTCCCAATTTAATAGCAGCATAACAGGTAGTTCTTTTGATTTACACAATGATGTTAATTGTACTACGCGTAATGTAATTTACCTCATTACATGTAAAGGCTGTAAAAAGCAATACGTAGGTCAGACTAATCAAAATGTATCATGCAGAATGAATAAACATAGATTTGATATAAGAAATTGTGACGTTAATCCAGTTTCACATGTTGCGATCCATTTCGGATCAAACGATAATAAGTGTTCATTGTCAGATTTTTCATTTTTACCTTTTTAACTTAGAAATTTTTTTTATAAAGTCAAATATCTCAATTATTGCTTGAGATATTCAATTGAAATTTAAAATACTTTTTTATAGTAACACTGTACATCAGTTTGCAAAATTGCATAACTCTGTCTGCAAAATTTGCAGAATTATTTGCCCCTTTGAAAGTTAGAAATTTTGGTTAAAGGTTAAAGGTCTTCAAAGATATTTGCTTGAAACTTTACACATGCACTTAGGGTCATAATTGGAGGGTCATAATTGTATGTCACTGACCAAGTTCCATAACTCTATCTTGCATTAAGGCTGATTCATATTCCCTTTTCTACTTAGTCTCTTGGTTAATGTTTACATGCAAGTTTTACATATCTCAATAACTATTAAAGATATTTATTTAAAATTTCACATATGCATTTAGGGTCATAATTGTAGGTCACTGACAAAGATCCATAATTCTATCTTGCATTTAGGCTGATTTTTCTCCCCTTTTTCAACTTAGAAATTCATGGTAAAGTTTTGCTTGTAAGCTGTTATCTCAATAACTACTGAAGGGTTTGTGCCTTTTTGGGACAATTTTATGCATTCATAATAATAAAGCAGTGATTTACTTGATAAAACATCTTAATAACAAGCCTTTGTACCTTTTCTGTCAAATTTATGTATTCATAGGTTATTAGTATTATTATACTCAATAAAACACCCTTGTGACATTACCTTCCGAATAGTCAAGCCAATACTGTATAATTGGCCTATAACATGAATTTATAAAAAAAAATTGGCCCTTTAGTGAACTTAAAAAATTTAACATTATGAAGGCTCTTTTACTATCAAGCACTTAGAATAGTCGAGCATGCTGTCCTACTGACAGCTCTTGTTATTTATAATAATAACAATAATATCTTATGATTATCCTAATCAAGTAAATTATTCATTAATTATTTTCAATGACTAAACACATTAAAAAGTATACATTACATCTAATTAAAAAATCAGAATAATTAACTAATATAATCATTGATCAATTATTATTATATGTTAAAAAAAAAATTTCTAATTCAATTTATATCAATTGATAATAAAGTTACAAATTTATTAAACATCTAAATACTTCAATAAAATATTTTTTTCTCTAATTTATATTAATATTTGATAATAAACTTACTGATTTATTGTTGCTGATGATGCTAACAAAATTGAAACTTGAATAAAACATTAGAATACTTCATTAAAGTATTTTTCTCTCTAATTTATTACAATTTATAATAAACCTACCGTACCCATTTATTTAACATCTAAACACTTCAATAAAATCTTTTTCTTTTTTTTCTAATTTATATCAATTCATGATAAACTTATCCATTTATTTATCATCTAAAATTTTTCTAAATACTTTAATAATAATGTAATTATAAAAATAAAAATGGGGAGGAACTGTCTTCTAATTTGCAAATATGCAGACAGTTCTCCCCCAAAATAGGGAGAGAACCGTCAGGGAGGAAACGTCAGGGGAGGAACTGGTAAGGGAGAGAATAGTCTGACTACCGAACCAGTCCTTAGCTCTTATTGAATAGACCAGCTCTTATTGAATAGACTGAAAAATCAATCACTACATGTTGTTAAAAACCATCCATATCTGGGAGTTGAACTAGCAGATACTCTGAAATACAACCTACACATCGATTCAATCACAGCAAAAGCTTCTAGTACTCTTGGTTTTATCAAACGGAACTTAAAACATTGCCCGACCACAGTAAAAGAAAGAGCTTATCAAACTTTGGTTCAACCTAAACTGGAATATGCGTCACCAATGTGGAATCCCCAACAACTTAATACATCAAAGAAACTTGAACAAATACAACTGAACGCGGCAAGATTCGTCATGAATAAACCATTCAATCGTAATAACCCATCTAGCGTTACATCAATGCTACACGAACTAAAATGGCCAACACTTGAACAACGTCGTCAGTGTGCGAACTTAATTCTCATGAATAAAGTGTTTAATAACCTGGTGGCTGTACCAGTTGAATACCACCCACAACTATCAACAAGATACACAAACTCGGTAAAGTTTGTCACTTATCACTGCAGACTTAATGCGTACAAACATTCATTCTTTCCAAGAACTTTACATTATTGGAACAACCTTCCAGCTAACATCACAACTGTGGACAACCTGGACAGTTTTAAATCTGCTGTCCAGTCTTACGTATTTGTGTAAATTATTAAACATTGTGTATAGTGTACAAACATGTTGGATCTTACTTCACACTACGTTTTCATATTATTTTAACTAGTGCCGCACATGGGGGGACAGGTTTTTAGCCCACGTTTTATGGAGCACAATTCACATCACCACTCGTCGCTGATGTCTGCACAGCGGATTTACAGACGAGTTCATCATAGAAGTAGAAGTAGAAGACCCCTTGGTTCTTTTACATGCCCAGTGTATAGCACTGATACATGCGAGTCATCCTGACTCTAACCCATATCCCTCTAACCCATAAGGCATTTATAACACTAACCCTAATTAACAACTATATTTGTACTTAAAGTTGGCAAAGAGACATTGAGATATTTTTTTAAGGCATTGTCCTTTTCCAAGTCCAACCACAAATTGCATTTTTCTACATCGACACTGGCTGATTAAAAGTTGTTGATATAACTAGCAACGAAAGGAAGAAACGGCCCACTTTAGTCTTTAACTGATAAGACATTAGCTTTTGAAACAAACTCCCATGAGAGTGAAAGAACTGAAGACAAATTATCCCACTTAACTCTCAACGGTAATTGTATTTTAAATCCACTACAATGACATTGTGAAAAAAATATTTTACAAAACAAATTTAAAAATAAATGGCTGGCATGCGTTCAGAGCCCTCTCATTGAATAAATTTTTGATTGAGGTAAGTAACAAAATAAATATTCTAATGATTTTTTAAAGAACTGAAGGATGTTTTCTAATTCTTACTGTTCAAATTAAATAAAAAACAATTCAAACCAGCAGCAGTACTAAATTTTCTGTGCTTAAAAATAACAGTTAAAAGTAGGCAAAACGGTTTGACGGAAGGAAAAAACAGTAAGTTAAATGGGTCAAACAGTTAATGCTTAATTAATTAGGCCATACCTGACCCCTATCTGTAACCCTATGGCTAGAAGTAATCTGAGAGATTTTGTAGAGAAACGTAAACACTGTAGAAATGATATTGGATGAAATCATAATGTTAAAAATAACTGGAGACAGATTCTGAAGTCTAGCAAAATATTATTGAAAACTAAGGCATTAACCATGACAAAAGGATTTTGAATAGTTGATCCATTCAAAGACATTAGAGAGCTTAAATTAGTCTGCCCTTTACAAAAAGTTAACTAGCTGGAAAGAAAGTGCCTATTGGCCCTATAAAACCACTGGAAAGAATTATGGGCCTTTGTTTCTTTTTTGAATATTAAATGAATTTTGTGACAATTTCCTTTCATGTCTTGTTCTATGTTATTGTTTTAATCATGAGTTTTGTATTTGTTTTCAGATTTTTTACCATTTGGTTGTGATGGCTGCGGTAATACATTCTGGTACGATTTTCTAACTTTTTATTTACCTTTGAATGCAGTTACAATGCATAATCTCTTATAGAATTTTATTGGAATGTTGGTGGTTTTACTCAGGTGCCCGTTCCTGCCTGAAATAATGCACGGAGGGGCACCTGAGGTTTTCCTCCACCAGTAAAGCTGGAACGTCGCGATATGACCTATATTGTGTCAATGTGATGTAAAACCCAAAACAAACAAAATAGAATTTATATCAAATTTATTCATGATTTCATACAAATAAGTACATGTACACATTTGCAGGTTTAGTAGTGTCTTTGGCTAAAAAGATTTATGCACCTCAATGTTGTTGGGTTGTATCCTAGGACTTCTCTTGTTGTAATTTACAGCTTTAAAATTGACGCAGAAAATATGCAAATATAAACAACTAACAAAATGAAGAACTTTTTCACTCTTAATAAGCAGCCTGTACTTTTGGGAGACAAGCAAGCCTTACTGAATTAACAATATAAATTGTAAGATGGTGGCTGAACTAAGAGACTGCAGCATTTCTACCTTTAACTTGCTATATGGGTATGTTGTCAAAGTATAACATTATATCTGAACCTGATACCTCATAAATATGGTTTAAATATTTTTAGATATTGAAATTAATTGTCTTCTTCAGTGTCTATGTATGTTTAACTTTATATCTTTTTAGCTCAGAACATAGAACAAAAGATGCCCATTCCTGTTCAAAGGTAAAGATAGATTTTATTCTTTTCACATACATGTATTAATAACTTTTGGTTATTTGAAGATGGCCTTTTACTCTAAGAATTAGAATCATTACTAAAATATACATGCAGCGGATTCTTTACTGAAGAAGAATGGTAGAAAAATATTGTATTTAAAGGCCCATTTAGCTTAAAAAGTGATATATTTTTGTGCTGGCAATGTCAAAAATAACTCTACAGTCAGATCATGTATTTTGATGTAAGTCAAATACTATATTTGTAACTTATATTATTTGCTACTTTATCTTACAAAATGTTCTTTCATGTATTCAGAGGTTATATCAATACAGGAAATAAGTATTTCACATGTCTTTAAATTATCATTATTACAAAACCACTAGTTGCCCTTTCCGAAGATAAGAACATACCGTTATGTCGCCAATATTCTGAGCGCAGTAAATATACTGCTTTAATTCAATTCATGGCACAACAAACAATGGTAAACAACTCCAATGTTGCTAGACATTAATTCTATGAGACAAAATTCATAAATTAAAATAACTTAGAATTCAACAGCTGTAAGTATTGCTGAATATTTTTAGATAGGAAGTACAATTGTATCTACCTTATAAGACAACCAATTATCTGTTCTGACACAGTAACACAACTAGACTTACCTCCTGTCAGTTCTGAAATTGTGAAAGTCTAACCATACACGATTTTGTACTGGTACAGTAGAAAGAAGTTGACATCTCTACTTCAGCTCCGACAAATTTGGGGACATAAATAATAAGAATGTACACAAACAGTAGAAACAGAGGTCTTCCTACAACAGGAAAGCTGGAATCTCTACTTATACAAAATGTTTGTGTAGCCTAAAACTGGATCATAAAACTAAAATGAATATATATTTACAGGATATGTTGACATCAGCGGGCTGTGAATATACTGGAGCTAGAGGATATACATGTAGTCTAACAGGATGTAGTAATAGAGAACTTACAGAGATTTTCTGTGATAAATGTCAACAAGTATTTTGTTTGAGGTTTGAAATACATGAAAGTTTTCCTTTATTGTCATAAAAATTACAGCGAGTGGGCAGTATTATGTTTTTGTCAGACTGCAAAATATTTAAGCGGCGTGCAACTGTGAGAACTATAAGCTGTCAACCAACAATTTTCAGCCCATTTTACAAGAAATTTTGTGATTAAAACAATATGATTTCCTACTTTTACAATTTTCACAGGAAAGTGCGGTATAATTTATGAAATAGCACACAGTACTTCAGACATCATTATAGTGACCTTTGGTCTGTGAAATGTTTGCGGGCTGACTGTTTGAGGGCTGACTGTTTGGGGGCTGACTGTTTGAGGGCTGACTGTTTGGTGGCTGACTGTTTGGGGGCTGACTGATCGGTCACTATAATGCGACGAGGCCCTCAGTGCTTTGCTGTGTACTATATATCTTAAATGGACACCATATTTATTAATTATCCTTTTGCAAGTTATTGCCCTTTTCAGCACTTTGAAAATAGATATGGTTACCGTAGTTGGATATATCTTAAACTCTATCTGTACTAAAGGCTTCATAATTCCCTTACTTATGATATTGCCAGGTTATATTACTGTGCCATCTATTTTTCCCTATTTACCACTTTGAAAACAGGGCCTTGTATGGTTAATCTATTCTGGCAAGTTGGATTTATCTTCTTCTAATTACTTTATCATTTAATGATATCTTCCATATTTGATAGGTGAATACTTTCAATTGTCCTCTAACTTTTTTGAAGTAAGGGGTCTCTGGGGTCAAGGTCACTGTTGTAAAAAATAAATTAAAACATTTTTGCTCACACAACCTTTATTTTTATATCAATGTTTTTCAAATTTGATATGGAGATGCCTAGGGAGGTCTTCTTCTCTGTATGTCATGAGTCATGATATATGTTTCTAAATTGATATAATTTTCTATTTTAAGTCACAGACATGCACAAGACCATGATTGTAGTAAATTAAAGGAAGAATTAGTGAACACTGGTTCTAAAACTGCTGAACATGTCAATCAAATCATAGGTAAGTTATTTATTGTCTACCAAATTATAGGTAAATTAAACATGTCATTCATATTATATTTAGTTTTGTATTAAACAAATGAAATAATTATTAGTATCATTTATGGGCATCTGTGGCAATGTGTTAAAATTAGTTGACTTTGACCCACTTACCCCTTAGTGCTCTGGGTTTGAATCGCTCCAGGGACTTTAGATTCTTTTTTTGTGAGGAAGCTATCCAGTTAGCTTAAAGAATGATCGTTGTGTTACTCAGATGCCAGCCTGTGTTTTAAATAATGCACAGAGGGGCATGTGACGTCTTCCTCCACCAGTATATCTGGAAAGTCACCATGATATTTTGCAGTGTTTCTCTGCATTTATGTACATATAATGGATAAATCTGATAAAAAGGTTTGCTGATAGTAATCCATTTTGGCTCAAATTTTATATTGCTGTCACACTGTAAAAATGTATGAAAAGTAGAATCAAGTAAGATATTGCATAATGTATTGGAATGGGGCACAATATGAAATTACTTTAATATATTATTATAAGATAATTTAATCTTTCAGCTTCAAAATCAGTGGTTGTTAAGAAATCTCGAGTGAGTGCAAAATCAAGTAAGACAGCAGCTAAAGTTGCTTTAATGAAAATGAAAATGCATGCTAAAGGAGATAGTGGATGTCCGGAGACGGAGAGAGTGTATTTACGAGTGTATCCACCTAGTCAATACAACAAGGAACCACAGCCTATGTTCTTCTCTAAGGTAGTTTTACTGTGTACCGTTAATCTAAATTAATGAAATCGTAAATGTCAACATACAATCCATTGCTTAATATCATGTCATGATTAATTTCCTCTTGTCTTGTTAGAACATACAACTTTGTTTGTCCTGTAAAAATTATTAGCTGTATAAAAGTTAAAAAAAATAACAATGTTTTTATGTACTGCTCAGCTTGCAGATATGTTTAATGTTATAATTATTTTAACGTTATTAACTTGCAAAAGTAAGCAACTTATGTACTGTGTTTTATGTAATATCTCAACCCTTAATCTGCTGAATTTATTGAAAAGACTGGTCTACGTCCCATTTTTTGACTTGTCCATTGTCATTTTGGGGATATCAAGATGAAAATTTAAAATTCAAGTTAATAAGCCAACAGTAAGAGATGGCATTAATATATAGGCTGGCCTGGCTTCATATTGATGGTAAAAACTTATCTCTTTCGGTTTCAGCAGGGTAAGGGGTATGGAGGCATTAACCTTGAAACAAAAAATATTTTATATATAATTACATGTGATATTTTTTGTATGATATAGACATGGAGTATAGGAAGAACTGTGGACAGTATAGCATCAAGACTGGGTATTCAAAATAACAACAATGTACAAACAGCAAAGGTATGTTATCTACATATATAACCTATACAATAAAAGGTTAATGCACCTTTTTTTAGCTCACCTGTCACAAAGTGACAGGGTGAGCTTTTGTGATCGCTTTTCGTCTGTCGTCCGTCCTTCGTCCGGCGTCCGTCCGTAAACTTTTACTTTAAATGACATCTCCTCATAAACCACTAAGCCAATTTCATCCAAACTTCACAGGAATGTTCTTTTGGTGGTCAGCTTTAAAAATTGTTCAAAGAATTTAATTCCATGCAGAACTCTGGTTGCCATGGCAACCCAAAGAAAAAAATTTTAATATCCTCTTTTAAAAAATCCTAAGAGCTAGAGCTTAGATATTTGGCATGAAACATCTTCTAGTGAGTGTCTACCAAGTTTGTTCAAATTAAATCCCTGGGGGTCAAAATTGGTCCCGGCCCGGGGTTCATTGGTTTTTCCCTATATAATTATATAGTAAAAACTGAATAAAATCTTCTTTTAAAAGAACCCAAAGAGCTAGAGCTAAGAATTTAGCATGAAACATTTTTTCTAATGGGTGTCTACCAAGTTTGTTCAAATAAAAGCCCTAGGGTCAAAATTGTCCCCCGCCCCGGGGGTCATTGATTTTTCCCTATAATATGCATATAGTAAAAAACTTAAAAAATCTTCTTTTAAAGAACCCAAAGAGCCAGAGCTAAGATATTTAGCATAAAACATTTCTAATGGGTGTCTACCAAGTTTGTTCAATAAAAGCCCTGGGGTTCAAAATTGGAACCCGGCCAGGGGCGTCATTGATTTTCCTATATGCATATAGTAAAAAACTTGAAAAAAAATCTTCTTTTGAAAAAAACCCAAATAGCTAGAGTTTAGATATGAGGCATGAAACATCTTCGATTTAAAGTGATTGTGTCTACAAAGTTTGTTCAAATAAAAGCCTTTGGATCAATTGGCCCCGCCCTGCGGGGGTCATTTGATTTTCCCTATTTGCATATAGTAAAAATTTAAAAAATGTTCTTTGAAAAAACCCAAATAGCTAGAGTTTTAGATATTAAGCAATGAAACATCTTCTAGTAAGTGTCTACAAAGTTTGTTCGAATAAAAGCCCTTGGGTCAAAACTGGCCCTGTCCCAGGGGTGTCATTGTTTTTACTATATTGTATAGTAAAAACTTAAAAATCTTCTTTTAAAAAAACCCAATGAGCTAGAGCTTAGATGATTTTAGCATGAAATATCTTCTAATGGATGTCTACCAAGTTTGTTTCAAATAAAAGCCCTCGGGGTGAAAATTGGCCCTGCCAGGGGAGGAGGGGAGGAGAGATCATTGTTTTTTTCATTATATGTGTGTAGTTAAAAACTTAACATTGTGAAAATAAAAACTTAACATTGTGAAACATCTTCTAATGAGTGTCTTCCAAGTTTGTTCAAATAAAAGCCCTGGGGTTTAAACTGGCCCCGCTCCGGGGCCCTATATACAGGTGAGCGACCTCAGGGCCATCATGGCCCTCTTGCTTGGTACATTAACATCTGTTGAAGCAGGAGGACACATTAAAAGCCTGAGTCGGCAGGGCAAGAGTTTTAATTTGTCTGAATGCTTCTTCGAATGTTTATGCACAAGAAAAGGTGCATTAACGCTATTCTTGTATAATAGTTTACATCTAAATAGGCAATTCCATTTTTCATTGTCTGTATTTTGTACTGAGAAACCATTGCTCGTGCCATGTTTTCCACGTGCTAGAGCAATGTTGTTTGACAGTTATGTTTTGATAATTAAGTAACCAGGGTCGACATTGCGTTTAGCTGTTTTTAGCTCGACTTTTCTATGAAAAGGGGAGCTATCCTACTCGCCCCGGCGTCGGCGTCGGCGTCACACCTTGGTTAAGTTTTTCGTACCACCCCACTTTATTTCAGAAGTATTACAAGTATGGCTTTTGAAAACTTACCATACTTGTTCACCATCATAACCTCCATCTACAGACAAGAGTTACATAACTCTGTCAAGGTTTTTGACAGAATTATGGCCCTTTTTTGACTTAGAAAGTGTATTGAGCTTGGTTAAGTTTTTTTGTACCCACCTCACTTTATTTCAAAACCATTGGAGGTATTGCTTTGAAACTGACCATACTTGTTTACCATCACGACCTTCATCAACAGACAAGAGGACATAACTCTGTCAAGGTTTTTGACAGAATTATGCCCCTTTTTGACTTAGAAAATACATTGAATATGGGTAAAAATCCACTTATTGCCTTAACCCTTTGAGATATTGCTTTGAAACTTTTAATGCTATTTCACATCATTACCCCCATCTGTACGCAAGAGAAGGTAACTCTGTCAAGGATTTGTTTTAAAAATTAAGGCCTTTTATCGACTTAGAATCTTGGTTAAGTTTTTAGTACCAGTCCACTTTTTTGACTGAACTGTTTGAGATATTAATTTGAAAGTTGGAATACTTTGTTTACAATCATGATTCCCAAACATGTCCAGGAGAAGGTAATTCTGTCAAAGATTTTATTTGAATTATGGCCCTTAACTGTCAATGTTTTGTATTATAGGCAAGCACTAAAAAACTTAAAAAAATCTAAAAAAATTCATTCCTATCCACTTGTTCACTTTACCATAAATTATGTCATAATAAAATAATTCTTCACTAAATATCTTAATGCTCATGGCCATTGTTCACTTTAAAAATACAGAGATTCTTGTATTGCCTTTTACTGCAAAAACTTTTTTTATTGGCAAGCAATAAAAAAGTCGAGCGCGCTGTCTTACGGACAGCTCTTGTTACATTGTGCCTTGAGCCATGCTTAATAAAAAAAAAAAACACTATGCAACAATGGCACCTGGTCACGAGAATCTACCTGTTAATGCATGTTTTCCTTCTCTGTTAATGTATACCAAGGTGCACAGTTTTTATGCAAGAATATGTTTAAACACCAACTTTAATTGACAGTTAAGGTCCCATGGTTTTAATGTTTTTATAAGGGCATGATTCCTTTGACATTTGTTATAAGATGAATTGATAAATGTAAAGTCATAACTTTAGAATAGAGTGAATTAATGGGGCAAAGTTATATCTTCTTATTTAATTTGTAACATTTGTATGTAGAAAAATTACATTTAAAGGCAATGCTTTTAAGGATCTGTATGAGGAATTAAAAATTGTTATTTTTTATTATTTATCTTTATAAACTAAACATTCTTAATTTGTAAATTTCTTTAGTCAATGATTTTTTTGTAGTCAAGGATTTATTCTATTCCATTATTCATGATTGACTAATTTTCTAGTTTTCAAATGTATCTCAGGTGAGCAATCTAGAGCTATCATGGCCCTCTTGTGGCTATAAAGGATATTTTTTATCAGATTAATCTGAAAAGATTTTCAATTTTTAATTTTCAGAAACTACGATTATTCAGCACTGATGATGGAACTGTTCTACAAACAGATTGTCATATAGAGATGTTATTAAAGCAGGAACTGATATTTAATGGATCATCTGTGATACTAGAATATGTTCACAATAATACTGAGATATTAGACCACTTATCCGTCTATAAAATATCATGATGATTGTTAACATAACACTGCTAATGTTATAAATTTTACAACCATTATACTTCTGAATTTAAACTGCTAAATTTGTGTAATTTTACAATCTTTAAACTGCTAAATTTGTGTAAAATTACAACCTTTAAACTGCTAAATTTGTGCAATCTTACAACCTTTAAACTGCTAAATTTGTGTAATCTTACAACCTTTAAACTGCTGAATTTGTGTAATCTTACAACCTTTAAACTGCTAAATTTGTGTAATCTTACAACATTTAAACTACTAAATTTGTGTAATCTTACAACATTTAAACTACTAAATTTGTGTTATCTTACAACATTTAAACTTCTAAATTTGTGCAATCTTACAATCTTTAAATTGCTAAATTTGTGTAAAATTACTACCTTTAAACTGCTAAATTTGTGTAATCTTACAACCTTTAAACTGCTAAATTTGTGTAATCTTACAACCTTTAAACAGCTAAATTTGTGCAATCTTACTTCATGGATGTGCAGGCTGGACTGGCTGTATACTGGTGGCAAAGGTTTATCACCTGGTTCTAGCAGGTCAGGGGAATTTATCATTTATAGTTGGATATCTTAAGATGATATATGATGCAAACATGTAATGTTGTTTTATGTTTATTGATATTGAGTAATTTTTGTATCAAACCAAAGTTGCAAAATAAAAGATGATAAACATTAAAAAAATTATCAGTATTTATCAATATATTTACCAGCCCAATGTTAGAGTTAGTTTATACAATTCTGGCAAAAAAATTCCCTGTCCACGGCTTGTAGACCCATTGTACTTTAATGGGGAGATATTCATGATTAAATAGGCAATCATAATAGCCTTAATGTTAAAATGTACAATATTTCCTCAAACTAAATGTATATGACCTTTACCTAGGTACTTCCTTGTGCTACTCTTAATAAAACATTTCAAAAGGAATACTTGGAAATAATGGTTTTTATCAATTCTGATGCCACTGTACTGTAAGGTAGTCTTAGATGGATATGTTACTCAAAAGTATCTTGTCTGGTAATGCAATCTTGTTGAAAATTATTCTTTTTTAAAACAATGAGAATGATTACAAGTCTACTGTATTGTTTTATATACAATGTTTTTGTGCCTGTACAATTTTACATTTGTAATATAATCGTAAACATTACAAAAACTTTCTTGACAAATGTCTGCATAAAATATTAAACAAATGAACTTCTTGAATCAATGTTGTGGCTGTATGTTTATAATTGTTGGCCTACTTGTCTGCATTGTTGGCCTACTTGTCAGCATTGTTGGCCTATTTGTCGGCATTGTTTGCCTACTTGTCAGCATTGTTGGCCTATTTGTCAGCATTGTTGGCCTACTTGTCGGCAGTGTTGACCTTCTTGTCAGCATCGGTGACATATGTTTCAGTTTCTATGTTTAAATCAATGTCAGTTCTGTTATAACGTTCAGGAAATACAAACAACAATGGTATAGCTGCAACTAGAGACCCTAACACTGTCCAGTTCATCCATTTAGTTCCTATGTTAGGCACTGATACTAACGACAATAAGATAACTCCGCCTACATTATTAACAAGTGTATAAAACCCTCCTGTCACGCCCTCTGCTACAGGATATGACGCCTCCGCTGATATCTCGTAAAACAACGGGACAGTTCCATTTATAAATATCCCTAGTAATATACACGATGCATACAGTGCTTTTATATCATATGTTATAATACCTTCACATAGTAACGCAAACCAGATACAACACACTACTGCACATGTGAAAAGTGATATAAGAAAAAGTTTCCGTCGTCGATGGAAAAAGTCAGAAAATTTTGCAATCAAAATTCCTGAGAAACATCCAATTAACGTATGCCAAAAGAACCCCCTTGCTTAGGTACACTCTAATACATCCCTACCCGTACGCTGGAATGCACCGTTATTCCATTGTCCTTTGTGTGAGCAGGAACATGTTAGCCGAGTGGGTAGAAGGTAGGGAAAATAGACAATTGTTATTACAAACACAAGTCCAGCTATCGCGGTATGAGTGTATAAAAGGTTTAATATTCCTTGTTTCAAGTTGTCAATATTTAAAACTTTACTTTTATGGTTGATATTATTATCATCAGCATCGGTTATATTAGATGCTGATGTCACATTGGTTGTGTTCTGTATAAGTTTCTCATATAATGGGTCAGAAACAAGCTGTGGACCAACAATGAATGACAAGCTAAGACCGAGGTAGTTGAAGAATGAACCAATAGCTGTCGCTACAGGACGCTCTGTTGGCGGGAACCACACCGCGGCGACAAGAGGAGGTCCAGAAAATGGCATTGTAGCGGCGATACCTTGAACTAATCCACAAATATAGGCTGTTATAGTAGCTGTAACAGGCTCAAGAGAGAAACAACGTATTGCTGTACAAGATAACAACATTCCTGAACATAGAATCATTGAAAATCGCAATCCTTTAGTGTCCATGACCATACACATTGGAATTACTAGAAACATATAACTAATATTAGCTAAGTTAGTGACCAATGCAATGTTACCATCATTCCAACCAAACACGATTTCTGAAGACTCTGCTATAGGTCCCCACGTATTCCAAATCATTGACTGCTCGCAGCAAACGAAACAGAAAACCGCCATTATCCACCATCGTTTTTTGTATACATGTGTTTTACTAGTAGCTAGTAAATACGAAGTATCGTCTCTTTTTTCCATCATATTACCGCTAGTTAATTATCCACTGATGCCCTATGTCTTTTGTTTTGTGGTCTTTACTGATTATATGGGAGCATTGGTTCCCAATAGTAAGGTAATTTAGGCCAAGCTATTTTAATTAATAACGTTTTAGGAAATTTATGCAGAGTCACACAGATATATTGTCTAGCACGACTGCTTTCATGTATATCATATTATCATGTCATTATCTTATCTCAATTGATGATGTCTCACTAAACTTGGTGTTTTAACATTCGTGATCGAAACTGTCGATGTATTTATTACGTGTATAACTAACTATACATACATATGTATACATGGAGTTGCCGTATGACTGGAATACCCTAATTGTCTGTATTTATATAGATGGAAGCTCGAACACATACTACACGCTTTATTGTCTAGTGTTTACTTCAGCATTTTACCTCGTACCATTATAGGTTCATTTACAATATGACTTTCATTTGATGTGGAAATCACAAGTCAGGAATATTGCCAGTTAACTGATTCAAGAAGAAATGAAGCTAGTTAATGGAGGTACAAATAGCGCCAATTTAGTGATCGATGTAGAAATAACATCGCAAATTACCTTAGAAGTCGCGCCACTTTACTGATTGAAATAGAAATCGCGCCATTTTACTGACTAGAGAAAATATCATTTACTTACTGAGCTAGCTAGAAATCGCGCCAGTTTATTGATTTAGGTAGAAATGGCGCCAATTTACTGATGAAGAGATTGCTTTTATTTATTCAAATGAAACCTTTTCCATACAACAAGTTACAATAAGATCCTAGATGTAAAACTTTTCATGTGTAGGCCTATCTAAAACCCATATAAATCAATTATAAAACAGATGTTATCGATTTCATTTTAAAACAAACTTCCATGTTTATGTTTCAGTTTAACCCGATATATATAACATAAAAAAATAAAATGTGCACGGTTGGTCGATCTTTTGACATGTTAAATCAAGTCATGGATATAATATAGTAGTTGTATCCGATCATACTGTGTCGTAGTTGTTCTAACATTATAAATAATAAAAGTCCATCAAGGTTAAATGAGGTAAATCGATCTGGAGCTAGCACTGTTGAAGGTATGTCTTTTATCGTGATTTATATGTTTGATATTTTGACGTGTACAAAGTTTCTATATGAACTTGACACCTGTAGGATTAGTGATTTTAAAGTACATGTATCGTATTTACACGCTTTGATACTATAGAGTATAATCGGTATAATATGACGGTTTAAAAAATCTGTTAAAGCGGATATCGATTACTGTGCTATATTTACTGTTTTATAAACGTAATGATTATTCTAAAATTAGTTCGTGTTGTAGAAAACTGCGTGTTTAATATGCTTCAATCAAGGTATACATTAAAATCATAACATAATATATAGTTAATCTTTTACATGTTGTTGTTAAGCCTTATATAAACGGTGTTTCAATATAAATCATTTACAATGTATAATTTTTGTTTCTTACAGCACTGACCGAATGAAGACACATTATACAGTGTTAGAGAAGTTGTACACACGTCGGAATAATGCTACAGCCGACTCTTTATTCAAGAGTTGTTGCCCTTGGTGCTCTTCATATGGGATTTAGCATGTTAAGTGCGGCGTTTGCATTCTATTACGTCAAAGTGTTTTTAAACTTTTATCACATTGAAGAAAGTTGGTTTCAAGTATCTCAGACAATTCTCCTTATATGGAATACGATAAACGACCCGTTAATTGCTTATTTCCAAGACAGCACAAATTTCGCGTGCACAAGAACTCGGCGTGAAAGTGTTCTTTACGCCGCGCCATTATTTGCCTTATCATTTCTTGTACCGTGGTTTCCATGGGGGAAACCTGGGCATGTCGAGCCTATGATAACATGTATTCATCTCATAGTGACGTTATGTTTCTTTGACACGATGTTTACGTACATAGGACTTGCATCATCTTGTTTGTTTACTGAAATATCCGCGGATAACGATGAAAGACTTCGAATGATACGTTATAATCAAATAGGTAATCTTCTAGGATGTTCTAGTGTTTTTATCTTACAGTATGCATCAAATCAACTAGAAAACTTTAAAACATTTCAAACTACATGTATAGTCCTAGCTATAATTAGTTTTTGTTGCTAAGATACTGTGGCAAACACGCGCATACAGAATTAGAACTTCGGCACGAGATTGACATGCAGAATGGTAAACCTAGAGTTCTAAAATCTCAAGAATTCTCGTATTTAACGTTAACTAAACAAATTTTCTTCACAAAAGATTTTTTAGCATTTGCAGTAATGAACTTTCTAGCAGGATGTCATAGAGTTTTCCTGTCTAATTTCTTTACAATTTTTGGAGATCAGCTAATAAGTAAGGAAGTTGTGCCACCTATTGTAAGGAGCTTATTTTATGGGGCGAGTTCTACCACATCAAAGGTGAGAAACAACTTTATTTTTCTTTCATTTTATTTCGAATTCATTGCGAAAATATTAAAACGATTAATAAAGCATTTGGTATATAAGGTGTTAGTGTTGAAATTATATACCGATAACTAGGGAACTGATATACCGGTAATGTGGGAACTGATTTACCTGTGACATGGGAACTGATATATAGGTAACTTGGGCACTGATATACCGGTAACGTTGGCACTGATATACTGGTAACGCGGGCACTGATATACCGGTAATGTGGACACTAATATACCGGTAACGTGGGCACTGATATACTGGTTACGTTGACACTGATATACCGGTAATGTGGGCACTGATATACCGGTAATGTGGGCACTGATAAACCGATTACATGGGCACTGATATACCGGTTACGTGGGCACTGATATACCGGTAACGTGGGCACTGATATACCGGTAACGTGGGCACTGATATACCGGTAAGTTGGAACTGATATACCGGTAACGTGGGCACTGATATACCGGTAAGTTAGGAACTGATATACTGGTAACGTGGGCAAATATACACCGGTAACGTTGGCACTGATATACCGGTAACGTGGGCAATGATATACCGGTAACGGGGGCACTGTTATACCGGTAACGTGGGCACTGATATACCGGTAAGTTAGGAACTGATATACCGGTTACGTGGGCACTGATACACCGGTTACGTTGGCACAGATATACCGGTAACGTGGGCATTGATATATACCGGTAACGTGGGCACTGATATACCGGTTACGTGGGCACTGATATACCGGTTACGTGGGCACTGATATACCGGTAACGTGGGCACTGATATACCGGTAACGTGGGCACTGATATACCGGTAAGTTAGGAACTGATATACCGGTAACGTGGGCACTGATATACCGGTAACGTGGGCACTGATATACCGGTAAGTTAGGGAACTGATATACCGGTAACGTGGGCTCTGATATACCGGTAAGTTAGGAACTGATATACTGGTAACGTGGGCAAATATATACCGGTAACGTGGGCACTGATATACCGGTAAGTTAGGAACTGATATACCGGTAACGTGGGCTCTGATATACCGTAAGTTAGGAACTGATATACTGGTAACGTGGGCAAATATACACCGGTAACGTGGACACTGATATACCGGTAACGTGGGCAATGATATACCGGTAACGGGGGCACTGTTATACCGGTAACGTGGGCAGTGATATACCGGTAACTTAGAAACTGATATTATACCGGTTACGTGGGCACTGATATACCGGTACGTGGGTTCTGATATACCGGTTACGTGGGCACTGATATACCGGTTACGTTGGCACAGATATACCGGTAACGTGGGCATTGATATACTGGTAACGTGGGCACTAATATACCGGTAACGTGGGCACTGATATACCGGTAACGTAGGCACTGGGATATCGGTAACGTGGGCACTGATATACCGGTAAAGTGGGTACTGTTGGAACTGATATATCGGTAACGTTGGAACTGATATACCGGTAACGTGGACACTAATATACCGGTAACTTGGGTACTGATATACCGGTTACGTGGGCACTGCTCGATATACCGGTTACGTGGGCACTTATATACCGGTAACGTGGGCACTGATATACCGGTAACATGGGCACTAATATATCGGTAACGTGGGTACTGATATACCGGTTACGTGGGCACTGATATACCAGTTACGTGGGCACTGATATACCGGTAACGTGGGCACTGATATACCGGTAACGTGGGCACTGATATACTGGTAACGTGGGCAATGATATACCGGTAACGTGGGCACTGATATACCGGTAAGTTAGGAACTGATATACCGGTAACGAGAGCACTGATATACCGGTAACGTGGGCACTTATTTAACGGTAACCTGGGCACTGATATACCGGTAACGAGGGCACTGATATACCGGTAACGTGAGCACTGATATACCGGTAAGTGAGGAACTGATATACCGTATCTTGGGCACTGATATACCGTTTAACGCGGGCACTAATATACCGGTTACTTGGTTACTGATATACCGGTAACGTGGGCACTGATATACGGTAACGTGGGCACTGATATACCGGTAAGTGAGGAACTGATATACCGGTAACGTGGGCACTGATATACCGGTAACGTGGGCACTGATATACTGGTAACGTGGGCACTGATATAACGGTAACGTGGGCACTGATATACCAGTAACAAGGGCAATGATATACCGGTAACGTGGGCACTGATATACCGGTAACGAGAGCACTGATATACCGGTAACGTGGGCACTGATATAACGGTGACGTGAGCACTGATATACCGGTAACGAGGGGCACTGATATACCGGTTAGTTAGGAACTGATATACCGGTAATGTGGGCACTGACATTCCGGTAACGTGGGCACTAATATACCGGTTACTTGGTTACTGATATACAGGTAACGTGGGCATTGATATACCGGTAGCGTGGCAACTAATATACCGGTAACGTGGGCACTGATATACCGGTTACGTAAGGAACAATTGTATCATAGTTTGGGGACCTTTCTGTTGAAAATGAGTCAGAGTTTAATAGTATACATATACATGCACTGTGCGTTAACTTGTGTGCAGGAATTAGTTCTCCAGAGCATGCCCATTGATTGGCTCATTTTTGTGACGGAAGAGAAAGAGAAAGCGACAGAAATATCATATTCAGATGCTCGTTCATCGGTTACTTTTTCCCGGGGTTTCATATTGTGACAACAGAGGACGTGTTTGTATGTTTGACTATGATACAAAAGAGAAAGAACATCAAAACACTCAGCAATCTGATTAATACTCGGGGGGGCTACGCCCCCTCGTACAAATCAGATAGCCTCGTGTTTCGATGCTCTTTCTATTACTTAATTGTGATGAAGAAAAGTAACGAGGATAATGTATGGCTGAAGTAAATCAGGAAGTTAAGATAACTTAGGGAGAAAGATTTGACATAGACGTATAGATATCATATCGCATTCCGTTCAACTGTGTAATAAAGATAATTATATTTGTTATTACAAACTATATGGTTTTGCCCAAGTCTCATTGGGTGTGTTAAAAACGAAATAATTTAGATGACGAGATTAAATGACGACTATGACAAAGATAAAAACAACAACAACATTTTATGATTCAAACTTTCACACAACACTGTACAGTTGTTAACATTCAATAAAAGATGTAATATTTTATGTTTATACAAAGTCATAATGTTGATATCAATGAAAAATTTAAAACAATTTTTATCTTGGCCTGTCATGAGCATGAATTATTCTTTCTTTTATGATGGCCAACTTAGTAACATTTTACCATTTCAATGGATATATTCCTTCCACTTTGAGTCGATAATTGTACTGAGAACAATGATGTGACCTGAGAAACATATGTTCACTATCGACTGTGTCTTCCCCGTACATATCATCAGCATGAATTCATTAGTTAACTGGAGCATTAACTTTTAAATATGGTATGAGGCATATAGGTGAATGATTCCATTTGTAAAGTGAACCCTGGTAATTGAAAAATAATTAATTAATCATCACGCATTGTTTTAAGTGAAGAATATTAACGTTAGATAAACCAAAACAGAGATATATTGTATTTTGACACGTGTAATGTCAGGTGGCACGGGTTATGAAGCATGCACGTGTTGACACTTGTAATGTCAGGTGGTATGGGTTATGAAGCATGCACGTGCACGTGGTAAGGAACAGACAACATACACGTCATGGTTTGCAACATGCAAGTTAGGGGTCCGTACTCTCAGTGCCTGAAAGGGCGGACGGACCTTTTGCATAATATATAAGATAGACTGTGACTATCTCTATCCCACAAAATGTTGTTTTTTATATAATCAGTGAAAATAATTTGAATAGTTATGAAAATGTTGTTATTTTTCTTCTCTATTTTAGCTGATAGTAATATTTGGCACTGGAATTGTGGGTAAATTTGGCTATTATAAGGTGATTCGATATAGTCAGATTTTCATGATTGGATATGGATTGATATACTACATGATTGGACCAATCAACCACTGGTGTATAATGTTCTTTATGTTGTTAGACAGGTAAACCATCTGTTTCTTATATATTACATTATTATACAATATATTACATTATTATACAATATATGTGTAATATTTGAAGGTACTATACTGAGTAGTAATATACATGTAAAACATTTTGATAATGATAATTGATCAGGCAATGGTACAGAAATCATGTATGACCGTATTACAGTAAAATCTCGCTATTAAGACCACTTTGGGGCCCTGGTAAAAGTGGTTTTGTTATCGAGTCTAAATAAAGAGACCCATGCTAATTTTCACTATAAAATTTGTATCTGTGATAGAAAGTTATCATTAGCAATTGGGGTCGTTGAAACATAACCGTTTGAATAACATAAATTATTGAGCATGAATTTTATTCACCAAATTTACCATGATTTATTTATTGAAATCATCACATTTATAAATCTTTTTATACATGTAAAGAAGCATAATTTTTTTGAACAGACATTATTTTATTTTCGACAGTTTTCACAAGAGAATACACAACTCAAATCAGCATGTGTTGTTGTGTTTGTTGATTTGTTATTTTAATATCCATTTTACTTTTAACATTATTTCATATTATGTTGTAATTGAACCACATACAATTATTTCACTATAGTTCAGCTGTATTTTAACTGATTATTATATTACAGTGGAACCTCGAGCAGTGTGCACACATTGTACGGTCTGGCTGTGTCGGACATCGCGGATCAAGATCGTGCTCGATACCAGAGGAGGTGAAACTTTAACTTTTCTGTAATATGTAATATCGAACATGACAAAATTTTCAAAAGAATAACTTTTTATAGACATTCTAACACGTTCTTTAAACCATTATTACAATTTGCTTTAAGACATAAAATATATATTATATAAACATAATTTGTTAAAATTAGTTAAGCCATAAAACTTTATCACAGTCATCATTGTCAGTTATCATTACCGTCGCAGTAATCAACATTGCCGTCGCAGTAATCAACATTACCGTCGCAGTAATTATCATTACCGTAAAAGTTATCAACATTGCCGTCCAAGTAATCAACATTGCCGTCGCAGAAATCAACATTGCCGTCGCAGTAAATAACATTGCCGTAGCAGTAATCAACATTGCCGTTGCAGTAATCAACATTGCCGTCGCAGTAATCAACATTATCATCGCAGAAATTAACATTGCCGTAGCAGTAATCAACATTGCCGTCGCATTAATCAACATTACCGTCGCAGAAATCAACTTTGCCGTCGAAGTAATCAACATTGCCGTCGCAGAAATCAAAATTGCCGTCGCAGTAATCAACATTGCCGTCGCAGTAATCAACATAGCCGTCGCAGTAATCAACATTGCCGTCGCAGAAATCAACATTGCCGTCGCAGTTATCAACATTGCCGTCGCAGTAATCAACATAGCCGTCGCAGTAATCAACATTACCGTCGCAGTTATCATCATTACCGTCGCAGTAATCATCATTACCGTCGCAGTAATCAACATTACCGTCGCAGTAATTATCATTACCGTCCCGTAATCAACATTACCGTCGCAGTAATCATCATTACCGTCGCAGTTATCATCATTACCGTCGCAGTAATCAACATCATCGTCGCAGTAATCATCATTACCGTCGCAGTAAGCAAAATTACCGTCGCAGTAATCATCATTTCTGTCGCAGTAATCATCATTACCGTCGCAGTTATCATCATTACCTCGCAGTCATTATCATTACAATCACAGTAATTATCATTACGGTCGCAGTAATTATCCTTACCATCGCAGTAATTATCATTACCGTCCCAGTAATTATCATTACCGTCGCAGTAATTATCATTACCGTCGCAGTATTATCATTACCGTCGCAGTAATTATCATTACCGTCGCAGTATTATCATTACCGTCGCAGTATTATCATTACCGTCGCAGTAATTATCATTACCGTCGCAGTAATTATCATTACCGTCGCAGTTATCATCATTGCCGTCGCAGTTTCATCATTACCGTCGCAGTAATCCTCATTACCGTCGCAGTAATTATCATTACCCTCCCAGTACTTAATCGCCATCAGCGTTATCCATATCATTATGATAATGATTCATTATCATCATGTATCATTATCATCAGTATTATCATCATCATTATAACGAAAAATTCCTCCGTTGTTTCAGAATTACTTATTTCTTACATATTTCAGACACCCTGTGACGTCGATGGTATATGGATGTAACTCACTAGCGACGAAACCGGCATTATCACTGGCTCCTATGTTTGTTGTTAAAATTCTCAACATGTATGGATATAAGAAACATAAAAATCATAAACTTGATCCTCTCCAGATAGATAATTTAAACAAGGCAATGTTTAGTTTTATATGTCTAGTCCCACTTGTGATAGGGTGTATACAATACATTGCCTGGTCATTTTACACAATACGTGATAGACGGACTTTAGATATAACATTTACTGTTCCACGAGAAGATAGTACGGTCATCAATGGTATATAGACATGTCGAGGGGTTATCAATTTATTAGTTATACATAATTAATTCATTAAACACTTTCATGTTTTGTAATGAAAATGTACGAGAAATGATGGATTAATTCAATTTTAGTGCTCTCCAATTTTTTTAAGCCAATCACCGACGAGGATTTTTCAAATTTTCAGGTTTCAAATCTTAATAGAAAAGATTTTATATAAACTGGACGTTTTATATTATAAAACGCAAGTGGGCGGAGCACTAAGCCGGTTAGAGTGCATATTGGATGTTCTTCGTAAATAAGAAAGCTACAGTCGCTTCGCAAGCTCCGCTCCTTTTTAGCTTTCTTATTCACGGTAGGGAATCACGTGACTTTTACGGTTACGCGTACAGACAATATGGCGGCCTAAAAACCTCGCTTCACATGTGTTTTTAAGGTAATTCTTTATTATATCCCTTTTACTTACATACGAGACCTGCTGCAGCCTACGCAGAATAAAGAATTGTTGCCGCCTATACCTTAGTTTCCACTCCTGTGCTCATAGATTTTACAAACACTCAAAAATTCAACAGAAATTTTCAATGTGAACAATTATATTTCGGGTAACATTCACGCAAAATTTGTATTTTTTATGAATTTGATTAAACTACGTCGAGTTAGAAAAGAGAAAATGTTCATAGAATTTCTTTATTTGAAAATGTAAATATTAGGCATGTTAAATGTTGACTGGTCATTTTCTATTCCAAAACATGAGAGAAAAATGATTTGGGTAACTCCCACGCATACTTTTATTGTTGATAACTCCCACGCAATATTTTATGTGCAGGCAATATCTATGCAGGTTATAGCCTAGATATTGATTGAACAAATCATGATTGATGCATTTAGCCTTAAACGTTCAAAGAATTTTGAATAATATTAAAAATACCGCCAAAAGGTCCTGGATAGAAGAAAGCCCCTATGGATAGCAGAATACATACTCACGTGAATATATTAATGAAGTTTCGATATAGATGAATTAATCGCAGAAATTAAAATAAAAGTCTCAAATATAAGAAGGAGGTCGATTTCAGTATAAGCACAATTACAGTTGTCATTTTTCATAGTTTGCAGATATGGGCGGTTCCAGTTCGGGTATTGTTTGTGGATAATGTTGGGCAACATTTGTCTTAATGACCACATAAACTGGCTACTCGGCACAGGACTTTGTAAATGTTGTGACAAATCGAAACGTGACAGGTATGGCATTTTATGTTATTCTTTATATTAAGATTTTAAAGACATTCAAGTCATTTTATCACTTAGTCTTTTATGAAACCAACTTTTTTTCAAATTAGTGTCTGTATTTAACATTATTATGTTGTGTGTGTGTTTTTTTTAAATCTAAAGCATAAAAGAAAACAACCTAAAGTATATTAGAATGGGTCTTTTATTTTACAAACTAGGTAATAAAATCTAGAGGACTTATGTTTGAATGTCATCTTAATATCAGCAGTAAAACCCGTAACGTTTCCGATTTGCTGGGCTATAAAATATTTTACCACAACATTTATAAGGTCCTGTGCCGTGTAGACTGTTCATGTGGTCAATATTTGAGACCTATCCGCGAATGAAATGTTTCCCACATTTATCACAAACAATATCCGAGATGGAACCTTCCATATCTGCAAAATATGAAAAATGACAACTGTAATTTTACTAATAAAAACAGAAATACAAAACCTCCTTCTAATATTTTCCCTTACCAAAAAAAGGGCTCTCTGGTGAACATTGCGGCAAGTTTGCCGCAAACATTGCGGTGAGTTTGCGGCAAACTGCTTTCAGCAATTATTTACCATGCAAATGAGGTTTGCGGCAAATTTGCCGCAACTCATGAGGTTAGCGGCAAACTTGCCGCTAACTATAGGGGGAGGTAGCTTCTGTTTGCGGCAAATTTACCGCAAACCTCATTTGCATGGTAAAAGTTTGCAGATGTTCGCCAAAAGTTTGCGGCAAATTTGCAGCAAACTTCATTTGCATAGTAAGTTTGCGGATGTTCGCCAGAAGCTTTTGGTAACACTGCGGCAAACTTCATTTGCATATTTGCCAGTTTCAGCAAATATGTTATGGCGATATTTTGGCAAACATTTTGGTAAAGTTCTGGCGAACAATTTTTTCAAACATTAGAATAATAAAAACTAGCTGAATTATAAGAAAACAAATACATATTGGTTTAACACATTTTTTCAAAAGAAAATAAAAGAAATATTACAAACATATCAGTAGAATAAAATGAAATTTGATAAATTTGTAAAATAAAGAAATTAATTCCCAAAAAGAGATAAATTTTACACACATTTTATTAGCAACTGATTCTATACATATTTGACTTTCATAAATTTCCACTCTTTAGTTATGATGCTATCATGAATTGTTCATATTGCTTAATTAACAATCAATTAAAACAAGAGCCGGTTGAACCTGGGTGATCCTAGATACAGAAAAGTATATCTTTTGAAGTTTCAGGGTTATGTCCCAGACAAAGTTCAAAGTGTGATAATTCCAAAATAGTTGTAAAATCCCACTTTAAATAACGACGTTATGGGCCGTACACATTTTTGCTTCAAGGTCATGCTGTGACCTAGACCTTCAAGGTAATGACCCAAATGTTGCATGTGAGATATCGTCTCAATATGGTGATTATTTCGGTGAAATAGTTTGTAAAATCCGACTTCAAATAACGAATTTATGGGCCAGACACGATTTTGCTTCAATGTCATGTTGCGACCTTGACCTTCAAGGTATTGACCCAAATGGTGTGTGCGACACATCGTCTCAATATGGTGATCATTTCTGTGAAAATAGTTGTAAAATCCGACATCAAATAACCAAGTTATGGGCCGGCACAATTTTTGTTTAAGGTCATGCTGTGACCTTGACCTTCAAGGTAACGACCCAAATGCTGTGCACGACACATCGTCTCAATATGGTGATCATTACTTTTAAATAGCTTTAAAATCCGACTTCAAATAACGAAGTTATGGGCAGGACATGATTTTGTTCAAGGTCATGGTGTGACCTTGACCTTCAAGGTAGCGACCCAAATGTTGCGGGCTACAGTCGTCTCAATATGGTGAGCATTTCTGTGAAATAGTTTTAAAAATCCAACTTGAAAATAACAAAGTTATGGCTGGACACGAATCAGGTTCGTATGTACGTACAGACAGACAGACAGACAACCCAATGACTATATGGTCCGCCGAAATTTTTCGGGGAGCATATAAACAATGTTTGACAATAGCTATTATTCAGCACATGTTGCAGTATTTCTTAGCACCATAAATGGGAAATATAATATTGTTGTAAAAGCTAAATATCAGAAAAGTTACAGTTTGAAAACTGGACAAAAAGTTTCATTCAAACATGAACTGGCATGGAATAACATACATACTTCAACATCCACTTAGACAAATCACTATTAATAACAATAAATACTAACAATAGCGTTATGTGTTATGCAAAAACAGACTAGACCAATAATGGCTTTCAAAATTGTAAAAATGAATCTCAAAAATATATTTTGGTCTTAAACAAACAACATATTTCATGGACATAATACCTTCAGATTTAAACTCATATGTCATATAACATTATGATTGTGAGCAAAACAATATCTGACACATACAATTATGGCTTTCAAAATTGTTAAAATTAATCACAACAATATATTTGGGTCTTATACAAACAACGAATTTCATAGACATAATTTTTTGTTTGCTTGTTTTGGGTTTTTACGTCACATCAACACAGTAAAGGTCATATCGTGACGTTCAGGTGCCCTTCCTTGCATTATTTCAGGCACGAACGGTGCCCTTCCTTGCATTATTTCAGGCACGAACGGGTATCCGAGTAGAACCACTGACGTTCAGTTAAGCTAGCTGGATAGCTTCCTCACAAGAAAGAATCCAAAGTCCCTGTCGGGATTCCAACCCACAGCGGTGAGGGGCAAGTGGTTTGAAGTCAATGACCTTAACCACTCGGGCACGGACGCCCCTCATAGACATAATAACTAAAGATTTAAACTAAATGTCTTTAGTCACGTCATATAACAATTGCAAGCAAAACAAAAACTGACTAGAACAATAATGGCTTTCAAATTTGTAAAAATGAATCTTAACAATATATTTGGGTCTTATACAAACATAAACATAATAACTTAAGAATAAAACTAAATGTCTTTAGTCATGTCATATAACGATTGCAAGCAAAACAAAAACTGACTAGAGAATATCGTAAGTTTGCATGAAATTGGCTTGGCAATTTATGAGATGTTGTTTAAAGATCAAGTTTACGGACGAAAGATAGACAAAAGCTCGCAATGTCACTTTGTTAGCTAAAAACGCACTACTTTACAATTTCACTCTTCCAAGTTTCAGTGCCCTGGCCATTGTGTGTATTTTGGTGTTGACTGCTTTGGTGACTAAGCTTCTCTCCATATTTAGTTTATTGGTGCAGTACACTGAAAAAAACAAGGTTTATTTTTCATTTCCATGTAACCATGTTTATACTGGATAAAACTAGAACTATCACTGAAGGTGAATGAAACCCCAAAACCCCACTTTGAAGTAAAGTGGCAGTAATCTATTAGTAAAGCCCACCTACAAATGAAGAAAATAAACACCAAAGGCAATTATTATTTATTGCTGGCTTGATTTTGATCTGTTGGGATAAACATGTATTTGCATTGCAAAACCTAGATTTATTTACAAATGACAAGTGGCTCATATATTATAAGTTTATCTAACTTAGTTAAGAAATCAAGGTATCATGTTAAAAAAACACCAAAATAACAAACAAGAGCGATCAGTGATCACATGTGTAGCCTCATGATGGCCAATTTCATGTTGGGACAAGTTTTGTGACAGACAGACAGTGCACAACTAGACTTGGTACTGATCATTCCTTTAAAGTTTGGATGAAATTGCACCAGTAGTTTTTGAGGAGTAGTCCAGACAAGCTTTTATGTATCTGGCAACACACAGAAAAAAAAACACCTTTTCATCAAACTTGCCAAAATATCATTCAACCGGAAAACCTGTGCAATATGTGCCAGGACTTGAGCAACAGATCAATCCTGTAAAGTTTCATTGAAATTGCATTTGTGGTATAAGAGATGTAGTCCGGACAAACTTAAAAAAGGGCCATACCTCTGACAAAAATCATTGAACCGGAAAATGCTGACAATATGCACAACTAGACTTGGTACTGATCATTCCTGTAAAGTTTGGATGAAATTGCACCAGTAGTTTATGAGGAGTAGTCAGGACAAGTTTTTGTGTATCTGGCAACACACAGAAAAAAAACACCTTTTTATCAAAGGGCCATAACTCGGCCAAAAATCATTCAACCGGAAAACCCATGAAATATGCACAAGGACTTAAGCTACAGATCAACCCTGTAAAGTTTCATTGAAATTGCATTAGTGGTATAAGAGAAGTAGTCAAGACAAACTTTAAAAATAAAAATTATTAAAGGGCCATAACTCTGACAAAAATCATTGAACCGGAAAATGCTGACAAAATGCACAACTAGACTTGGTACTGATCATTCCTGTAAAGTTTGGATGAAATTGCACCAGTAGTTTATGAGGAGTAGTCCGGACAAGTTTTGTGACGGACGGACAGATAGACAAGACGACGGAGAAATGATCCCTATATGTTACCACTACTCCGTAGAGGCGACACAAAAATGAACCATGCTGTGAACATGACAGCTAGGTCAGAACTCAAAGTTAAAACCAGGGTAATTCAAATAACCATTAGGATTTTTCTTCTAAATGCCACTGTTTGAAAGAACAATGTTGAACTAACCAGTCTTACTTGTATGCAAAACTCACTTTTTCAATTATACATCAATAACAGTGGTTAAAATATACACAGATACTTTTCTGACAAATTCTAAATCATTACTGACATGATGACTGAGAAAAACTTGAAATGTGTCAATAAAAACACGGATGCCCCCACACGCCACTGTTCTGTCAATCTTATGACTCTAGGTCAAATAGTTTTTTGGACTACATGTGCCACAAGTTGAAAACTAAAAATCAACAAAGGGCCATTATTCTGTTAAATTTGGTTGCAGCAAAAATTCCTTCCTTTACTACCATCTACACATTAAGTTTATTTATCCCTGGAAGTTTAAAGCAAAATCTGCCATCCGGTTTTAAGAGGAGTTGCGTTCACAAGATTTTGGGACAGACTGACAAGTGCCACGCTATATGCTCCCACATTGTGGGGGGATAAAAATAATCTTATTTTACTTACATGTTAAACTGTCAAATCCTCTTTTGTGCCAGGCAGTATCTTACTGCACTGGACATACCACTGCGGGTTTTTACAGGGAAATTTCGGGGAAAGTCTTTATCTGCTGTGATGTTTTTTAAGATGTGGACCACTTCTGATTTGTTTTCAACCTTTGTCTGTGAGAACTGTAATTGTAAAAATATATTTCAAAAATATTTTCTGTATTTTAAAATTCATCTTTAAACCTAATATTGACAAATATTGAAGATTGAACACCAATGAATTGACAATAACATATTTATAATTAATGTAACACAATGTTCATACAGTTACTAGAATAAGTTTTGTTAATTATTAATGCAAATTGCACGATTTTTTCCTGACAAATTTTAGTAATCACTTTTATGAAATAATTCGGACTGCATATCGATTATTCATCACATGAAGTTACATCAAATTGTTTCTATTGAAGACGACCCCAAATAGCATTACAAAATTATCAAAGTATTATCATTTAATTGCTACACCATGATTATAAATATATATAAAAAAAACCTCATAGATTTCAACTTACAGTTTAATAGGCATTTTTGTTTGATGTATTGTTGAGGATTGTTAATCACAATTGTATAAATCTGACCATTCACTGTCATTTGTAACTGTAGCATCTGACTGATGAATAGACCTTGAATAAAAAAAATACATATGTACAAACAGTATATGGAGAGATATTCATATATTGAAGCAACTGACATAACACAAACAGTTCAACAATACCAGTCAGTTTTGCATAGTCCTTTACTTTCGTAAATAAACAAAATACAGAAAACAAACTACCAGTACTCACTTTAGTGCTGGCAAACATCTGGCAAAGGACATCCTCCGAGATCTTGTCAATAAGATCTTCCATGATGTTGTGTTCTGATACCATTGATTCTTCATGATGCACATCCCTTAAAAAGAATGTATGTATTTAATATGAATTTTAGTCTTAAACCAATGAAGGTAAAATATGATAAACAAGATCAACAAGGAAAGGCGGCGTTCAATGAACGCAACCCCCATATGACCAAGCAACAAGTACCAATGGCAAGGAGCCCAGGCAGACCCAGTTTGTCATGTAGAAATAAATACTTTTTTAAAAAAACAATTACACATTCATGTTATTTTGAAAAAAGAAATATGCACATGAATATAGAGTAAAATGCAAAAACAACAAAGCCATTGTTTAAAAATTCTTTTCTCATATATGGATTGTATAATATTCTTTGGTTCCCTAAACCACGAGTGTGCCAGCAATATAGGATTATACCATGATAAGCTGCATAGACATATAATTACAAAATAATTTTTGAAATTCTTCCAATTCAAGTACATGTTATTTTGAAAATATCATTGTAAATGTAAATGTGTCTTACTCCATTTCCTTGATCTTATGCAGCAGATTCTGTCGGCATAGAAGCCAGTGCTGTCTCAATGATATTTCCAACACGTCTCTCCATTTCTTTTCATGTTTTTATTTCCAATTGTTGGTATATTTAGTGTTGACAACAAATTGTTGACCCTCACCGGCCCACCTACACTATCAATCATTGCTGTAAGAAAATGAAAGAAACAAATTATTTCATTAAAGTATACAAATATTTTGTAAAAAAAACTTCACATGGATTGTAATTTACATAACCGTGATAATAACACATTGCATAAATTAATATAGAGCTATATTTAGCTGCCTCATGTACATTGAATATTAGTACTGTGACTGTGTGTATTGGCAGCCTAGTGTAAACTGTGTCTTTTATATAATGTACATGTAGGATTCTGTAATGTCTTACTAAAAATTGCATTGTTGCAAGATTTAATTTAGCAACGTTTTATCATTTGTTTTTCAAATTTCTCAGTGACTTTGGGGAAATTAAAACAGTTCAGAGGGAAGTTTATAAAACATTTCACAATAGGAAGTGGCTAGCCGTACGGGCCCGTACGGCTAGCCAAAAGTTCTAGCCGTACGTGAGTCACGTACGACTAGCCAGGACACACTGTATTGGCTAGCCGTACGGCACTTTTCAAAATTATATGGAGTATGTGAGTCATGTACGGCTAGAACTTTTTTCCGTACAGATTTCATAATTTTTAACCTAGAGACCTAAAAATTTGAGACAGTTCAGCTAGGTTCTTCTCCTAACTAACAAACTAGTTTGTTTATTTCTGATTGTATTTACACTTATATCTGAGGCTCGAAAACGTGGGTATAAAAATTACCTAAAATGTCTACACTACAGTACCATGTGTCCGGACAGATATGTACATGATGTGATTTAATTCAGATAAAAGCTTGGCTGTTTTAATTTTTGATTTTCAACATGTTATACAATATTTCAGCAACAAATCCTGAAGTTTTGGATATTCTATTGTTTACTCTGCAAATGATTATAGTTGGTATATGAGGTCAGGCATTGCCCTCTTGACCCCCAAATTTCAACGTCAACATTCTTGAAATAGACATTAAAATATTACCATTTACGGAGGTTGAAATAAATTTATTTACTTAATTTTAGAAATAACATTCATTTATTGTTGATAAAAAGTAACTGACAACCACTGAATATAGAAAATAGAAAATTAAGCATTTTTGGAGCCGTCCAGGTTTGGTGGTTGTCTGGTTTTGGTGGTCCCCAACCAGTAGCCACTTCTTTCACGAATCCGGGTCAGCTCGGCCCTAAAACGTACTCGGCCTCCGAGTCAGCTCGGCCCTATTCCAACTCGGCACGGGTCAACTCGGCCCACTTTTCGATCATTAATATTTAGGTTTGTGTTAGATCTATCACTATTTATTGTAATTATTTATAATACACAGATTGACAGTTTCCGAACTAGCAGCAGACAGGCTTTTCTTATCAGTAGAATTGTGAGTAAAGATAACCGATTGCATATCTCACTGTATTTCTGACTTGTGGTAGGTTTAACTGTAAATTTAAATACCTTCATTGTCAAACAATTTGTTAAAATATATACTGAGAGGAAGCTAAGATCACCAGCTTAAGTTTGTGTAATACATTTTAAAATCGGACATTTAATCGCCCCAAACTAGCGATTTAAACACGGCTAAATTTGCATTATTTTGCAAGCGAGGGGAAACTAAGGGAAACAACTTTTGTATTTCCACTCGATTTACCTCGGTTATTTACGTAGTTCATAAAAGGACTGTCAATTCGTGGAGACAGAGAGAGTTTATAAACATAACAAAGAACAAACAGTGCTTTATATTATATTTATAATACAAACAAGTGAAGAGGCAGAACGAGACAAAATCAGGATTTACTAGTACATGTATTAATCATGTTCAACATATTTTATTTACACAAAAATACAAATAAGTAACCTCAACATGACATTTATATAATAATGAGATATTTCTTATTATTCATTTACCTTAACAGCATGCAAAGCAAAGTAAATACGTTATATATATTTTTGTAAAGTGGGCCGAGTTGACCCGTGCCGAGTTGGTATAGGGCCGAGTTGACTCTTTTCCTCTTTCACAATAAGGAGTAGTGTTTTACAGCTAAACACAAACAAGATACATGTATTCTGTATAATAAATTAATTATTTATAAATCTGAAACATAAATTTGGTCCGCATAATTTTACATGTTTGACATCATTGGAAGACAAGTAAATAAACACTGATAAATCATAATGTATCGATATATTCATTTTGGAAGTGGCTAGCCGTACGGGCCCGTACGGCTAGCCAAAAGTTCTAGCCGTACGTGAGTCACGTAGGACTAGCCAGGACTCGCTGCATTGTCTAGCCGTACGGCACTTTTCGAATTATATAGAAGTCGACGATGCATATGTTATCCTATGTTATTTTGTGCTTCATGATTATGATTTGTTGTTTTATTTGACTGAAAGATGATTTTTTGTTAATTAAGCACATGGATCGAATAAATAATGATCGGAGTGGAATAAATAAATAAATAAAAAGAACATTGAAAAAAAAAAACGATGAAAAGCAAAAATAATTGTATAATTTTCAAATACAGTAGATAAATATCGAACATAAAAGCACACTCAATTAATAAGCCTGAAATAAAGCCTACCCAGGGACTGACAACAGAATTTTAAAATGCGTTTCACGGAACATGCAAACTTTCCTTAATGATGGACAAACTTCTATACCGTCGGTAATTGACGCAAATATCAGAGCCTAACAATAATTATTTTCTTTTTTTTTTCATTTTAAAGGTGTCGAAAATTAAACTTTATGAAACAAAAAAGGATTATTATCAAAATTTTGTAAACTATTTCAATTGATGTTATCACGGATTTATATAAATCTGTGATGTTATTTAACTGCGATCTAACACTATTTTTTTCTCGATGTCTTGAGATGATAAAGATCGATATTCGTATTTTTTTTACTGTAGCCAACAAGGCGATTAATCTCTATTTAAAGTAAATATACGAAGACAATTACTATTTCTTGGTTAAAATCTTCGCTTAAAGTCATGAAATAACATATGTATTTTCGACTTCTATATAAATTTGAAAAGTGCTGTACGGCTAGACAATACAGTGTGTCCTGGCTAGTCGTACGTGACTCACGTACGGCTAGAACTTTTGGCTAGCCGTACGGCTAGCCACTTCCATTCATTTTGGTACGAGACCTTACATCTATGAATTCATTATCAGTTTATAGTACTTAATGTAAACTATGATGCAATACATTAATCACTTACCTGTTCCTAATTTTTGTGTTGACAACGAAAACATGGCATTCCAACTTTCACAGGTCTTCAATCAACTAGAGTCTGTGTGTTTTTCCATAGGGAACACAATTCACATGACCGCATTCTGTGTTTCGACATTTCACATACAAATAACCAGACACTCCTGTTTAAATTCACCTAACATGTTGTCAAAAAGTTAATCAGTGTTGTTAATGGTAGCCAACTGGTCCAAGTCTACATTTTTTACAAAATCTTAGGTTTGACCGTAACACGCCAAACTCAACGATTCTTCTTCCCTCTTTCCAACCCTCATTATCAACCGATTTAGGAAGAGTTGAATGTCTTGTAGAGCTGGTTTGGTTGGCCACGTAATACTGGTTACCTGCACTATTGTTATGTTCTTTAATAAAGTCAGAAAAACTTGAGTTTTCTGCATCTTTTTTACATTTTTTTTAATCGACCGAGCGTAATCAGCTCTGTAAGACGCCATGTTAGATATCTGCGGAAATTACGTCATTTTCTTGGGGAATACTACCACGTGACCGGGGATATTCGCTATTATTAGAATTCCGACTTTATACGTAAACAAAACGAAGTTCGTTACGAATAAATGGCGAGATATGGCGGTAATTGTCGAAGATTGCCGATTTCATTATGGGTCTTTCTACCTTATAATTTTTTAACTGTTATTGTGAACTACAATACCCTCCATGATACATTATGATATTTTTCAATTTGATAACTCTTAGGGCAAAAAATTTGTTTTGTTTCCACTTCCCGACCCATTAAAATAAGGTTGGGTAGGTAGGTTATAGCACGGACTTTAATTGACATTTAAATCCGTGGTTATAGGTAGGTACATGAAGGACTTTTTTTATATGTGCATAATAATATAATTCCTTTGGCAAAAATAGTTATTTACTGAACAAAGTTGGATTAACTTTCAGAACTGATATGTTTTGTGGCGAATTATCTGGCAAACTTGTTTTTATAGAAAAGTTTTTTCTGGTGAACTTTCAGCGAATATTTTTTTTGATAGAAAGAGTTTCTGGCAATCTCTGGCAAATTAGTTTTCCACTGAAAGTTTTCTGGCAAACTTTTTTGGCGAACAACTTAAATATTCTGGTGAATTCGCCGCAAAGTCGCCAAATGTTTGCCACAGAGTTGCCACTAGTGGCGAATATCTGGCAAACACTTGACATAGTGTTTGGCGAACTAAAAAGGTTTGCAGCGAATTTGCGGCAAAGTTGCGGCGAATTTGCCGGCAAACCTTTCCTTTTGGTACGGGTAATTAGTCTTTTTGTATCAAAAGGCGACAAAAATTGAATGTTTGGGTTTGGTAGGCCTTACGCGAAGTTATGTGATGTGCTTGGCAATTTATGATTTTTTTACAAGCCATGCCTTTTTGAAATTTATTTATCATATTATTGTAACCTTATAAGCAGATGAAGTGTTGTTCGCCCCATATAATTTACGCCCCAAGACGATTCGTCAATTTAGCTGTATTAATTTTATATCTTAGTGATAGTAGAATTAAATGTGAATTAGTTTAAAAAATACATTAAATCCATTGCATTTTCAAAATAAATTTGATTAAACTGTTCGTGGTTAAATAATAAAGTTGAGTGTTAAATTTTAAGTTTAATTGCCGTGAATATATAGGGAATAATAAGTTTATTTTATATTCTAGATCCTGGTCCTGGCTTAAATTTAAAGTATTACAGCTATAGCTTCTATTACCATAAATTTAACATGGAAAGGGACTGTTCTTGGGAAAATGCTGACGTAACTGATGGGAGCAGTTTTTCTTACCAATCATAGGTCAGACATAACCTTTTCCCCCATTGAGCATATTGTAAAAAATGGCCATTTTCACTGAAAAGCCTCCTCTTACAAGTTCAAACTGCTATGAAACTATGAAAAATGCTTCAATACTAATCAAAACTTGGCACAAATGTTGACTGGGACCATTGCTTTTGTAACGACATGCTCAGTCTAAAATTTCCTGTTACCATGGCAACGAGGGGTAAAGGGCTAACAAAAAATGATGAAAAACTTTGGAATCACCCAAAATCTATTCTTTTACCTAATTTTGGTGAAAAATTGTTGTTTTGTAACATTTATAATTTTTTAAGTTAACCCTTTCACCCATGAGCATATTGTGAAAAATGGCCATTTTCACTGAAAAGCCCCCTCTTTCAAGTTAAATTTCCTGTTACTATGGCAACGAGGGACATCTGAAAATTGCAAAAATCACTACTTCTCAAGGGATTGAGATAGAGTCAAAGGCTTTTCAGCGTTGGTTTACACCTTACCTTATGATCGACCTGGGGTCATTTAAAGCCTCTCACAAGTCAAAAATTTTCTTTGCGATCAGGGTACTCCGCCCCCCTTCAAACCCCCCAAAAAGAAGGGGCAACCCTCTGAAGTATCTTTTGGACAGGGGCGGCGCCGAAAAAGTGCTCACTTTTTAAACAACATTTCTCAAACGAAAACATGTGTTGGGGGAAAATAGGACATTTTCTCACTATTTCAGGCCTAAAAAAAAGGGGGGGGGGGGTCGAAAGTGCGTTGTTTCGCGTATATATGAGTTAAGGGTTAAATAGCTTCTTTTTAAAAAGTTTTCTATATGCTGTTTTATTATGTAAATCTTAGAAGATAAGCATTTTAAGATAAAACAAATCACTAAGTTGATTAATTATATATAATTTGAGATTTGACCAAGTCAATTTTAACATGTAACTTCTTATTTTATTTGCAGAAGCAGTAGAAGTATTCAAACACCATCATGACACACTTTAGACATACCAAGAAGAGCTCCAGAAGAAGAACTAGTGGTAGATTGGAACAGATTGTAGCTTAATTGTTAAACTAAAAGGACTTCTTAAATCGTTTGAATTTAATCTACACTTGAACTGTAGTTTTGAAATAAAATAGCTGAATTTTTTAATAGTGTCTTGATTTTTTTTGTTAAACTCTACAGTACTTTGCTTTATATTTATATTTAAAGTATGTTGAAAATGACATTGAAACTTCAACGTTGTGACAACGTTGAACTTAACGTTTTTTAAACTTTCAAATTCGAACATAAATCTAACGTTATTTCAACGTTTAAAATCTGTCATACTTCAACGTTGTTCACCGTTGATGTGCCTGCTGGGTTACTTCTATCAAGGACCTATTTGCGGTACTCTTAATATTATTCAAAATTCTATGAAATTTTGATGCTTAATGCATCAATCATGATTTTTTTCAATCAATATCTAGGCTATAACCTGCATTAGATATTGCCTGCACATAAAAATATTGCGTGGGAGTTATCAACAATAAAAGTATGCGTGGGAGTTACCAAAATCATTTTTCTCTCGTGTAATGGAATAGAAAATGACCAGTCAACATTTAACATGCCTAATATTTACATTTTCAAATAAAGAAATTTATGAACATTTTCTCTTTTCTAACTCGACGTAGTTTTAATCAAATTCATAAAAATACAAATTTTGCGTGAATGTTACCCGAAATATAATTGTTTACATTGAAAATTTCTGTTGAATTTTTGAGTGTTTGCTTAAAAAGCTATGAGCACAAGGGGTGGAAAATAAGGGTTAAGGCGGCAACAATTTCTTTTTTCTGCGTAGGCTGGAAAACAGTCCTCGTATGTAAGTAAAAGGGATATAATAAAGAAATTACCTGAAAAAACACTGTGAAGCGGGTTTTTTTTAGGCCGCAATATTGTCTGTACGCGTAAACCGTAAAAGTCACGTGTTCGCCTACCCGGTATTTACGAAGAACACCCAATATGCGCTTCTAACCCATACATATCTTTCCAAATTTATGGGCTGCTCGGAATGGCTTTCTCATTAAGAAAATGGTGGACCAAAATATATTTGTTATTTTTCATGTCACTAAACAAAATTTTGAAAATAAATTTCGGAAATTGACGAATTTTTCGGGCATTATTTTATCGGTGTGTTTTCAAAAAATGCCTGAAACTAAAAAAATGCAATACTGGTTATTTTTGTACAGGATATTTACGTTATTTGTTTTACTATTCATATCAGTATATATCAAAAACGTTCAACGTCAACACCTGGGTGATATATGATATCACCATGGGATAATATCAGTAAAAAGGTATTTAAAAACGTATTTCCATTTGTTGTTGTTGTTATTTTGGTCAAGCTTATCATTTCTGGGCAGGTAACTATTTGGATAAAAAAAATTCAACCGGTGAAACAAAAACGTTCAGTCCAGTTTAAACATTTCATTTACTGGAGTTTATGCATTTCTAAGCTCCAGCAGGTGAGTTGGTTTTGACCCCCTGGTGTTTGTAACACCCGAGTCAAAAATCACATTTCCTATTTCGGCGCCATATGACCTAAATTGTGTCGGTGCGCCGTAAAACGAAACAAAAACATTTGACTCATATACATGTACTATATTTTACGTAACAAGGTTTTTTATCGTGCTTTTTGTACACATTAAATTGATTTTTCTGTACTCGTGTTGAGGTGATTTTATATCATTTAATCACTAATCAGTTCTAGATATTTATAAATTTCACAAAAGTAGAAGTGATGTGATTTAAAACAAGATGACCAGGTGGAGGTATATTGCTAACCTGGGTTAATGGAATAATAGTGTAGGACAAAAGTTTCCAAAGGGTAATCCATGTTTAACCTTGGTCAATAAATTACTGGTTCTTCTGTCAGTGATCTTTGTCGTCCTCGAGGCAGCACTGTATAGACATGGGAGGAAGCACTGTATAGACATGGGAGGCAACACTGTATAGACATGGGAGGCAGCACTGTATATACATGGGATGAAGCACTGTATAGACATGGGAGGCAGCACTGTATAGACATGGAGGAAGCACTGTATAGACATGGGAGGCAGCACTGTATAGACATGGGAGGCAGCACTGTATAGACATGGGATGGCAGCACTGTATAGACATGGGAGGCAGCACTGTATAGACATGGGAGGAAACACTGTATAGACATGGGAGGAAACACTGTATAGACATGGGAGGAAACACTGTATAGACATCGGAGGAAACACTGTATAGACATTGGAGGAAGCACTGTATAGACATCGGAGGCAGCACTGTATAGACATCAGAGGCAGCACTGTATAGACATGGGAGGCAGCACTGTATAGACATGGAGGCAGCACTGAATAGACATGGGAGGAAACACTGTATAGACATGGGAGGAAGCACTGTATAGACATGGGAGGCAGCACTGTATAGACATGGGAGACATGGGAGGAAACACTGTATAGACATGGGAGGAAACACTGTATAGACATGGGAGGAAACACTGTATAGACATGGGAGGAAGCACTGTATAGACATGGGAGGAAGCACTGTATAGACATGGGAGGCAGCACTGTATAGACATGGGAGGCAGCACTGTATAGACATGGGAGGCAGCACTGTATAGACATGGGAGGAAACACTGTATAGACATGGGAGGAAACACTGTATTGACATGGGAGGAAGCACTGTATAGACATGGGAGGAAGCAAAGAGCGGGATAAGTTATAAAAATAATTTGAATTTATTTCTTAACTTTTACACAAGTCCGCTGAAGAACAATACGAAAACGTGTTAAGCAGGCGTGGAAGTACATGCACTTCATTATTTTAAGTTGTTTATATGCGCTACAGCTGACATAATTTAGGTTTTCTTGCACGAAGTGGCAATGTAGTTAAACTCATTATGATAATTAAAAATCGAGCAAAGTAAAACGATGTTTCTTCTGACATTACGGGTAGAAATGAATTATTTAACATTAATATTTAAAACAGGAAATAGCATATACATCTTAACAGAATCTAGAGATGTTTGTTTGTTTTGTTGGACTTTAGGACACATCGACACTGTATATACGATGACTTTCTAACTTTATTGGTGGAGGAAGACGTCGAAACTTGAGATGGGACCTTTCCAGTGTTTACAGTTTAATGTAAATTGGCTAGCTTGTTATCCACTTGCTACACTTAGATAATACATAGTCACTGGTTGACCTGGTTTGCACAAAAGAGCACGTGGTTATGTTTGTGATACTGTTTGTGAGCAATTGACCTAGCAATGAAAGGAAAAGGTGTGGCTAATGTTCCGCAACGAAAAACCGGAATCGTCCACTGACATCCGTACATAAATGATGCGGACATAAATTTAATTACACTCAGTACTAGTATTCACTGTTAGAAGTTTCGTTTCTGTTTATAACTGCATTTTGTGCATAATGAATTCGATATATTTGTACGAGTTTTTAATGAGTGATATTTGTACGAGTTTTTAATGAGTGATATTTGTACGAATTTTTAATGAGTGATATTTGTACGAATTTTTTTTTTAAAGGTTGATCAAATATATAAACATTGTATGTACAGTATGGATATATATAAACATGCAACTTTTTAACAAATATAGTTCATACAGCTATAAATGTATTCAAAGTAGAAAATAAAACATATCATAAAAGAAAACATTTTTATATGCTGACACTCTTTCATCTGCACTCTCTGACTGTAGGCTGCGCTTTAAATGTTGTTATCGGCCATATCTAATCATCTTTTCAGTAATTTATTTATCTCTAAAGTCATTTTAAGCGGGGTAAAAAAACTTAAAATATAATAGTTGACAACTTTGACGTGTAGATTTTGGCTACGTCAATACAGAGTAAAAGTTAAAGTCTGCACATATGTAGAGAATGATAACAACAACAATAACAACAACAACAACAACAATAATAATAATAATAATAATAATAATAATAATGATTATAATAATAATAAGAAGAAGAAGAAGAAGAAGAAAAAGAAGAAGAAAACAAACAAAATATTGAATATTGTGTTATTTGCATTAAGGAAAATTCCATGCGAAGATAAAGGTTTCAACGTTTGTACCAGTTTTTAGTGAGTGATAATTGTATTGATTTTTAGTGACTGATATTCGTTTGCGTTTTTAGTGAGTGTTATTTGTACGAGTTTATGCGATATGAGTGATATTTGTACGAGTTTTTAATGAGTGACATTTGTACGAGTTTTAAATGAGTAATATTTGTACAAGTTTTAAGTGAGTGATATTTGTACGAGCTTTTAGTGAGTGCTATTTGTACGAGTTTTAGAGAGTTATATTCGTACGACTTTTTAATCAGAAATATTTGTGAGTGATATTTGCAGGAGTTTTAAATGAGTGTTATTTGTACGAGTTTTAGTGAGTGATATTTGTACGAGTTTTTAATGAGTAATATTTGTACCTGTTTTAAATGAGTGTTATTTGTACGATTTTTCGTGAGTGATATTCGTACGTCTTTTTAATGAGTGATATTTGTACGAGCTTTTAGTGCGTGATATTTGTAAAAGTTTTAAACGAGTGTTATTTGTACGAGTTTACTACGTGATATTTGTACGAGTTTTAAATGAGTGTTAATTGTACGAGTTTTCGTGAGTGATACTCGTACAACTTTTTAATGAGTGACATTTGTACTAGTTTTTAGTGGGTGATATTTGTAAGAGTTTTAAATGAGAGTAATTTGTACGAGTTTTAGTGAGTGATTTTTGTACGAGTTCTAGATGAGTAATATTTGTACAAGTTTTTAGTGAGTGATATTTGTACGAGTTATTAATGAGTGTTATTTATACAAGTTTAAGATAGTGATATTCGTACGAGTTTTTAGTGAGTGATTTTTGTACGAGTTTTTAGTTAGTGATATTTGTACGAGTTTTAAGTGAGTGACATTTGTACCAGTTTTTAGTGAGTGATATTTGTACGAGTTTTAGATGAGTGATATTTGTACGAGT